CAAGATGGGATTGTATCCGGCCATGGACGACGTGGCTCAAACGCTCGACACCGTGGATGGATTTCGATTTGCGACAGATCAGCGACATCAAACGCCAACTGGAACGAGAACGGGACGTGCGACTCAGATTGCACAAAAAGTACCATCGGGCCGTCAATGCCATCGACGGCGTGGACACGGCCCTCGTGGTCGCCAGCATGGGGTGCCGGCATCGGCTTGTTGTTGACCACCATGGCCGCACCTGTCATCCTCGGGTTAGAAGTAGCCGCCGGGATATCGGGACTGGCGGGAATAGCCCTTAAGCTCGTTTCGCGTCGGTTGCAACGGAAGGCCTTAAAACACGACGAAATCCGAGTGCTGGCCGAAGCCAAGCTTAACACGATCGACGACCGCGTCTCGTCGGCCCGTCGGTCATTATGACATAGCCGAGTACAACAAAAAATGTGCCATCGAAGGATGCCTCTGGCGAGACCATCGCCGTTTTTAATGGGTGCTGGGGAACTTATTTCATAAACATAAGCCTCTAAGCCGCATCTGCGGCAGTACCATCATCGTACTACTACTACGATAGTCTAAGCGGTAATCTGACCGTAACTCCCATACCTTAAAGAAGACGTACGGTAGTCTTAGCGCTAAGGTTGTACTACGTCACCCAGACCTCGAACCCATATCGTCGTCTCATGCTGGTGTTTAACAGATCATGTATCATATTTATCGTAATAGATATCGTGTACACGGAAAATCTATGCAGTACTGTGTCAAGAAAGCCTGTTTATTTAGTTTGTATTCTCTTCTTTGTTTAAAGGAATTGGATAGAGCATTTGTGGAGGTGATCATGTGTACAGTGTCCGTAGAAGACCCTATTTGAAGACCCTATTAGATACAAAATATCCCAAATATGTGTGTGACATACTGACAAAATTACAAATTACCTCCTGTATCATGTATATAGTGTTTGTATTACGGGTTACCAGGGTGAGCAGGATACGCTGAACACCTTGTATGAACTCTACTTTTAGCAGATATTTCTTAGGATTAAGGAAATCGATTATTTCGCGTTTATTTCATATCACAGGGCCGTAACATCCAACCAAAAAACAACGAATAGAATCATGTTTCATTATGTAACGCTGAAGATTGGATAGGTAACCGTCAAACTGTATGGTTGATCAAAAATAGGTTTTACCTGCTTTAAAGACATTTTTTAATGTCCAAGAAATAGGTGACACTGACATGGCTTTAGAGTCTTCATGTAAGAGGCCTTGTGTCAAACACAATGTGATAATGAATGACCTACTTTAACAACATGTAAAACCTTACGAAATGTTTCATGGTCACGCATGCTTACTGTTTAATAATTGACTCTTCGTGTGTTCGTGATTCATAAACTAATGCTTATGATATCATTGGACGTGTACAACAGATTTCCTTTAAGTGAGATTTCTTATCATAAGGGCAATGGTTTGTCGGGTTTGCTGGGGTTTTTTCATTAACGCGATATTATAGTAACGCTCTGTCCCATAGCTGCCATCCCCAGTTTGAGTGTCACATGTTTCTTTATCAATGATAAACAGCAGTACACAGTTCTTATATAGGGGCGGTGGGGAAGCCTAGTGGTTAAAGCGTTGGCTCATTCGTCACGCAGACCCGGGTTCGATTCTCACATGGGCATTAATGTGTGAAGCTCCATTTCTGGTGTAACCCGCCGTATATTGCTGGAATATTGCCAAAAGCGGCGTAAAACTATACTCACTCACTCACTCTTATTATAAAAACACTTCTCATTTTCATTTGTGAGTGAGTGAGTATGGTTTTACGCCGCTATATGCAATATTCCATATCACGGCAGGGGACACCAGACATGGGCTTCACACATTGTACCCATGTGGGGAATCGGTGTAACGAGCGACGACGCTTTAACCATTAGGCTACCCTTCACTGTAAGACCTTACTATTAAGGAATCCAGTTTCATAAATATAGGCAGACTGTTGTCTCAGATCTTTACCTGTAAGTAATTATCAATGTGGACTGACCACTCTGCCATGTCTATTTTAGCCAAACTATTTTTAGTCGGTTAACCGTATTTGTATTGAAATAGAAGAAATTATCTGGACATAATGAGACAAGAGAACAAGGTCAGAATATTTTTAGTCTGTAGGTCTATTTTTATAAATCTATGTGATTTTGTGTCTCTGAACATGCGTCATAGTTATGATAGAATATATTGCCTTTGTTACAAACACTGATGGTAGTTACACAGGTGTAAGTGACCCCATAGCGTTATCAATCACGATAACGGCAAGGACATATGGATTATACATAGAAAGACGAAACCCTTCAAACAGAATGATGTTTTTGTACAGCCAATTTTTGAATGACCACCTGCTCCCCAGGTACGACCGCCTACCAGATACAGCACGGCAGTATGTCCGCATCCTCAGCAGTAATTATATACTTCCCATCAAACGTTTAGACTCACTAGTGTAAATATAGCCACTTACTTCAGGCAACTGTTTTAAACTAAATTTTGCCAAATTTTCGAATACTGGTAAAACGTACTGTTTACACATGAACTGATGTATTGTAAAACAAATTCGTAACGTTGAACAGATTATTATCATGAGTTCAGTAAATGATAAAAATCAGTGAAATTGGCGAATTCTTAACAAAACTTTACACCAAAACGCAGCTGTTCACATGCAAGCAATTTGATGCATGATCCTCGTGCAATTCATCTGCATAGAGTTTGCAGTTGGTTCCCCAAGTTAGTGGAGAAATCAATCTTCGATGTAACCATATATATACATAACATATAGTGAGTGTTTTAAGTGAGTCTAAACTTTTGATGGGAAGTATATTTTGTTATGTTGTAAATTTCTGAATGCTGCATGAAACATATATAATGTTTGGAATCCAGGACTAAAGATTAATGGCCACGTCTTCAGGTTTACGAGTCAAGCCAAACGTTGATAGGACCTGAGATAGGCTTAGACAGACCTCTTCCTCCGTTCACATACTGGCCTTATATGTGGCATAATTTGCTATGTCACGTATACCTAGTTCTTTGATCAAACAGTTTATGTAATGATGTTTACATATAATGGTTACGTTATTTAAGCCCTTGTCAGTTGGAATTACCTCAAACGTTTCATGCAGGGCAGCCAGACATTGGATGTCTGCTGGCTTGGACAGAATGGAGAGAACGGAACATTAAAACCGCCCCGAAGAGTTGCGCCGGCAATGGGGAGTAAGAGTCTCCACCAGTACCATCAGAGGGCTTCTGGTCTGAGGGAACAATTGGTAGTCCCTTAAGCTCCGATAGACACAGGTAGATACGTCTGGCGTGGTGCAGGCTCTAAAACAATCCCGTAACTTGAGGACATTGGTCTAATGAAACTCGCTTTCTTCTACACATTACCGACGGCTGTTGACGTGTATGAAGACGTCGTAACGAGGCATATCACCAGGACATATTCCATGCAGCAGAACCCTTGGTGGTGGCACAGTGATGGTTTAGGGCTGGGTTTCGTATGACTGCAAATTGAATCTCATTACAGTACCCGGGACACTGAGTGGTCAACGTTACCAACAGGCAGTACAGGATACCGTCCTTGTGCATAATTTAATCATTCATTTTTATAAGCATCCACTTGCCAATCATCCAATATTGAAGGATGACAACTCTGTCCTCATAGTTCATGAGCCATTATTGCCCATTTATAGAACAAAGCCTTGGAAACGTTTCCATCGCCCGCAATGATCATCGATATATCGATCATCTTTGGGGCTTTTAGGTTCATCTTAGACGCCAAGCTTGAGATCCTAACGTTCACAATGTGCAGGATTTGACGCAGGCAAGGAATGGCAGAGGACTTCGATGGTTGATTGTCTGTATGAGAAGGATACTGACAGTTGTTAGCGAGATCTGGCTGCACCAGGTAATGATGAGGACGCCAGTGGTGGTCCATACAGCAAATTGTTACAGAGTTTAAATTTAGTTTTGTGCTTGTTCTAATTGGAGTAAAATATGTTACAGTAATCATTGTAATACGTGGAATGTTTGGTTTTCAAAGCATACACAACAACCTGTACCGTTTTCGTAAGAATCACATAAAAGAGTTGGAGATGTTTATTGCTCATGTGCTCAGTTTATTTGAATAAAATTTAATTTTGGAATTTTAATTTTAATTCGATCAATTCTTCACGGAAAACCACTTTGGCCTGGGATTTATTATATTAGGTTAAACGTTCCAAGTGTAGAATAATTTCTTAAAACATGACAAACGCGTATACATTCAACTTGGCAGAAAACCTTACAGTATTTCCATCCTTCTTGAGTAGTTCAGAATCTATTATTCGTGATGCACATCAATCATATTTGCCTAATATGATTTAGCTTTTGTTATCATTACGAATGATCTATAGTGTCGCGAAATGGGTTTTAGGCTACCTTGACCCACACAATATGGCTGTGTAATCCTACAAGATTCTAGAACAATGTTCTGTGATGTGCGCGATGTCAAAATAAGTTGTGGGTGTTGTGTTGTGTGAGCTTGAGTGAGTGAGTTTAGTTTTACGCCGCGTTTAGCAATATTCCAGCAATATCAAGGCGGGAGACACCAGAAATGGGCTTCAGACATTGTACCCATATGGGGAATCGAACCCGGGTCTTCAGCGTGACGAGGGAACACTTTAACCACTGGGCTACCCCATCGCCCCTGTGTCAGTGTGATATACATCAGGTATGTATATAGAGGATACTAAACGACCTTCCGTGTAATTTCACGGAAGCGAGTTTAGTGTTCTGTTTATTACTCTCCAACATAAACATTGATAGAAACTGCCTACAGTGTGGTGATTCTCAACTTCCCGCAAGTCAAGCACGGTCTAATACCATTGTGACAGAGGTATTACCATTGTGACGCCAATTTACACAGTAAAGTATTGCATATACCAGATCTTGACAGTGATGTATACAGAAACACATTAACAAGCTTGGTAAACTATACACATTTATTTCTAAGGGCAAATATCTTTGTATGTAGACGGAAGTTGCTTGGCAATGGCAAGATGAAGCAAACCTGCAAAAGATGAAATCCAGGTAGGAGTGTAAACAGTCGTGGTAGGTTAGGTTGAGGTAACTGAAGGCTGCAGTTTGGTGAAGGCACGATATATATATAAGGGGACAGTAGTATTTAGCTATTGGTTTATTGAATACGTGGAAAGTGTTCATTACAATTCCATCACCATAAAATAACCTTGTCTTGCTTGTTTAACTTTAAGCCACCAAAAAATGGTGGATACTTTCTTTCAAGATAAGAGTTGAGATATTTCATGCACGTAAACGTAAGTAACAGCTGGGATATTGCAACGGCTCACACGTTGTAGATTTAAAGACAAACTTACGTCAACATTCAATAGGTAAAGGGTTTAAATAGCTCAGCTTTGTAAAAGCAGGGAGGTACAAACTCTGTACAAAACGGGCACTTGTTAAGTGTGGGGAAGGAAAACAAAGAACATATGGTAACAATGTGACGTGGTGAGGTACGTGTGTCTTCAGGCTAGTATCACCATGTCACGAGTCACAAATCAGAATGACTTGTTTAATGGTGTCCTCACCTGCAACGGAAGATTGGAATCCTGCGTTGTAGTCGCATGCCACCTCGTTCTTGACATAGTCAGTTCTGTCGTCGGTGTAGCCGTCGCTCTGACCGGGGCCGCCCACCATGGCGCCGTACAGCGTGTGGGGGTCGGGAACCTTCATCTGTTGTTCGTCCCACCCACACGGGGCAGGCAGCATGGGACACGACCTGGGGAGTGAGTAGTGAGTGAGTGAGTTGGGTTTAAGGCCGCATTGAGATGCATTTGTGACGGGAACTCGAAGTGACAATGCTACATAAGTTTACCACTTTTACTTATTGTGAAATCAATAGCAGGAGTATGGTGTCAAACCAAGTATCAAAGTCGAATCTGGGTCCGAACCCATGACTGGTGGATCCTGAAGGTTAAGGGAAACAGTTTGGGCAGGAGAACTGTGTCACCAAACGCCAGAAAACAGTGTGCCAAAACGCACTCGGGGATATTCAAAACAGACACGAGCATATGGATCCTCATTTGCACTTGTTTATGTTGTTATTCCAGTTCCCATGGAATGGCAGAAGTTGTTCATAATATCAGTCATTGGTTTCAGTGGTCTTTACATGATCGTGGCATTCAGTCAAACATGAAACAGTTAATTGGCCGCTTTTCGACAGTATCACTATAACTAAATGTAAGGCATCATGAATATTTGCTGGGATTGTTTTCCAGAAGTGTCTGTTAGTCTTCGCTGTACAGAAATATCATAAAAATAGTTATTTGTGTGTTTGTTCAGTGTATGTACAGTGTTACACAATATTGTGTAATCTAGACATACACCGGAAGTGGATACTTGATATATTTCACTCACGCGGCCCTGTGGTGGGGACGTCGAGGAGGGTTGGTGCCGAAGCCGATAACGAAGCTGCGCCCGGCGTCACCGAGGGCGTAGTTGATCTGAGACATGGCCCACTTCCGGTTGTTTACAGGGTCGATACCAGCGTCAGCAGCGACAAGAGCGAGAAGAGCGGTGTTAGCTGTCAGGAAAAGATAATCGTGTGAGCGTCCAATACTCGGAACGTGTCGGTAAGTTCCGGTAAGTTCGGCATTTCCAGGATTAAAGTGCGTGGGTGTAGTTGTACACAGCAACCTTAGCGCTACGACCTTTGTGTGTGTTGTTACGATCACCTCAGCGTTAAGATGACACCCAGGCACGTTAATCCTGGAAATGCCTAAGAATGATGATCAACCGACACTGAGTCTAGTCCTACAGTAAATGTCCGATATACCATGATGCAAAATATTGATTTGCTTGCCAATGGTGACAGTCCCTAATGTATAATCATTCGTTCATATCTCTCGTAAAAGATTACTGCAACTCAAAGGACTTTCCTTATGAGGGGTAAACCGGGTTTGGGGTTCGACTCGGATATTCGCCTGACACCGACCCATGGTCTATGATAGGGTTTGAACATTATAATAATATCCCAACGATTTCTTTGTTACGGGTAAGCCAGGGGTCAAAGAGCTGCAAAGCAAAATGCAGAGCAGTCTGTCAGGTAACTGACGAGATCGGATAGTCAGGCTCGCTGACCTAGTTGATGCCTGATTGATGCTCATCATGTCAATCACTGGACTGCCACTATGCGCGGAATATTGCGGAGTGCGGCTTTAAAACGGCGTTAAACCCAAACCCACTCACTCCCTGCTTCATGAGATACCCGTGAAGATCCGGGTAAGAGTTGGTCTTCAGCAAACCTTGCTTGTCGTAAAAGGCGACCAACGGGATCGGGTGGTCAGGCTCGCTGACTTGCTTGACACATGTCATAGTATCCTAACCGTGTAGATCGATGCTCATGCTGTTGATCACTGGATTGTCTGGTCCAGACTCGATTATTTACAGACCGCCGCCATATAGCTGGAATATTGCTGAGTGTGGCGTAAAACAACAAACCAAACAACCTTGATGAGATCCCCTGTAGAGGTGTTCAGACATACCGGCGTATCGGAGAGCGCCCCACTCCAACCTGAAGGCCAGACATTTTGGGGAATAGGGGACGCTACCCCCGGGGAACCAGTCCTTGAAAGTGCCCACAATTGTCTTCTTGTAGATGTCCTTCTTTGTCTCAATGTACATAAGAAGCTGGAAAAATATAAAAGGTGCTGAAAAATGTAAGATTGCTTTCAATTATCAAATCGCTTCCATGTAATGTGATATCGACAATAATGCCTGGGTACTATAGCTCACTTGAGCATTGAAGTACACCATAGACACTTTACATAGGTGGCTGTGTCGCAAACACACACACATTTTTCAAATTAAAGAAATCAAATTATGTTTTTATGTTGACTAGAATAATGTATACTATCGAACAACCTTGCTGCAAATCAAAACAACATAAACATTAAACAAGTATTATCAAGTATTGTTTCTCATTCTCTGATATTATGCACCACGTATATTATCGAACATTTGTTACAACTTCGCTGGAACTGAAAACAAACTTTTTTTCGCAAGGTCTTCTTAATCCAGATGTCTTCCACTTACGTTAGCACCGCCGATCTTCTCATCCCAGGAGAATCCCCAGGCTGTTTTGTTCACGAAGTGTTGCTCGGCGAAGGCAAGGTACTTCTTGTCTCCAGTAGCCTTGTACAGCCACATTCCTCCCCAGCTGAACTCGTCCTCGTCATCCTGGGACCTGAAATGTGAATGTCTACCTTAGTCATCACTGGAGTCGACTAGACACTTACATTACAAATACTGGTGGCAAAATGAGTGTTGTTTTAAACCATGGCAGGTTGTATATAATCGACTTTGGACTAGACAAACCAGTGTTGGAACATTCCCTTCATGACACGCTGATGAGTGATGAAGATGGCCACCTGTTGTTCTGACCATAGTGTAGCTATATTCTTTTCCTAGGTACACAAAGCGACACTGGATGCCCTTTTTCGGTAACGTTTCAACCTAAAACAATCTAAGACTCTAATAATCTGTGTCTTCATTTGCCTCCAATGCAATGTACAATGTACAAACAAATAACGGATCGAGGAGGGTGTACAGTTGGGGTGAACCCCTCCACACACCACACACTACACACTACACACTACACACCACACACCACGCTGCAGGCATTTTGCCGATGTGACGTTTAATAATCCCTGAATATTGTTGTCACATGTTCATATTACCCCAAATGCACACGATTTCAATATTATCGCATTCCTTGCCTGGTTCTCTCTCATTTCAACCCCTGTCCCTAAACCACCGGTAACAAGTCATATTTCATGAAACCCATGGAATGATACGTCTTTCACGTATGTGGCATCGATGACGATGTCGCTTACTTGTAATATGCAGCTGCGGCGTTGACACTGTCGCTGTATCTACCAGGGTGTGCCTTTCCAAACTCAAACAGCTGTTTGGCATGGGTCAAGAGTGTGTTTGCATATGCAGTGTCTGGAAAACAGAAACGCTCACTATAGGGAAAGCCCTCTTGGTACCTACACGCTATTTACCACATACAGAATTGTATAAGCCTGATTCAAGACAATCCTGTGCTGTTCTCAAATGGTCAGAGCTTAAATTTGTGAGGTTTTCTATTTGAATTGTATATCTGTACAGGACTTCCGACTCACCAATCAACATATTAACACGTCACTCACAGTTAAACCTGTATTAGATCAGTTCTCGAAGTTTTCAGAATTTGGTCTAACAATCCACAACAAACAACATCCATAAATGGAAATGTAAGTTTGTGGTGTCCCAACCTCCTTTTTGTTTGAAGACAATGGAACCAGCAGCCATTGCAGCAGCAGTTTCCATGGCAATATCAGATCCCGGATTAGAAGCGTCGATTTTGAAGGAGGGTCTCTTTCCGGTCATACGCTCTGGGCTAGTCCAAGAGCCATGGTCAACACCGCCATCGCCCACCTATCGGAAATGACGTCACAACTAAGGTAAACACATCCTGATACATAAATGTTTCAGATATTTGTACAAATATGTCCTACAACGATAATTATTAAATGTATATATAAAGCAATACTGTACATTTCCAAATGTTTCCGATCGTCACATCGATATGTTTCCTATTGATAAAAGTTTTTCATATTTCACTTTTGAATTTTATAATGGGCAGGTGGTCAAAATGGATTGTCTTGTATAAATGAACATTGGCAAGATGCTGATGTTGATATTACTGTATAGAACTCGATCTCTCAATCCACAAGTACAGGTTTCGCGGCGTGTGTCGACTCTAACCGGGACCTCCCAGGCAGGAGTTTAACTCAGCCAATACTGAGTCCTTCACGAGATATCAGAGTGTTATCTAAACACTTTAACATCGTGTCAGTGAATGTTCTTTTAACATGCAACTCAGCTACATCACTGCATCAGAAGTTGAATTGTGATCACCTGAACCTGCCCATTCTTAATACAAGACGGATTAACGGGACTCTTATCAGCGATGCTCCTGAAACTGTCGGACTCACCTGAACGTACAGCTCGCTGGGTTTGGTGTGACACTTGATGAAGTAGTCCAGTGGCCACTTGATGCTTTGGTACATTACGTCGAGTTGACCAGACTTAACGTAGGCGTCCTTCCACATGATCAAGCTCCATGTCAACACCGTCGTACTCCACGCCATCGGGAAGTTGAACTTAACGTTGTCTCCAGCTGCGAAAAAAAACACAATTATGTCAATGTCATTTCAATTAGGAGATGATCACTTTGTGTTTTTAGTAAAGGGATAATTTCCTGTGAACCTAGGAAAGTTGAGTCGAGCTCGCATCATTAGTTTGTCACGGCCTTTCCGTATGTTTTAGTCGAACTTCGTATAACTAGGAGATACAGGTATAACGAAATTAGTGGCTCTTTTGAGTTTGTTATAACCCTAGTTAAATTACGCGCAGTTGAACCTACAGGAAACCTGGTTCTTCAAGCAGAACACCAAACGGCCTTGAAAGAAAGTTTATGCTCACACATGGTTAGATTCCTCTAAATGTGACAGTGTGCTGCACAACTTGAATTGGAATCACGAAGCACCTCTCATTTCACCCAAGCCTAAAGTCATGCGCCTAACTTCAAGGTCCCTGATGTCCTTTACATAGACTCTATTAGTCGATCTATTTTGTGCCTTACTGCCATATAGCTGGAATATTGCTGAGTATGGCATTAAACTAAACTCACTCACTCACTTTTGTACCTTCTGTCTAAATCGGTTTTCACCGCAAATTTCCGTAAATTTCCATTGTGTATTGGATTACAGGATAGTGCTAAGTAAGCCTGCGTTGGTCATCACATACGGAATATATGCGACACTCACCGTCATACCATCCCCCAGTGAGATCCTGTCCGCTCTGACCCTTGTCACCAAGGGCGGAGTCGGCCCTCCATGGGATGCGGTTATTGGCCGGAAGTTTACCAGATCGTTGCGCTTCGTAGAACAGGATGGACTTCATCAACACTTCAGCGTAGTTATACTTGGTGGTCTCAGCACCTAAAAACAGCACGAGATCACAGTGATGGGTAAAACACGTGGATTTGTATGAACTCCTTGTTAATGGATTTGCCGACCCCAAATTGCGGAAATGGGGGACTAACATTGACATTATGAGTAGAGCCATATATATTTCCTCTCAGTTAGCCAGTAACCCGTACTGGGACAGAGGCCCAGTTTCGAGGCTCGTAACGTAATTTGTATTAATAACAGTACGTGACTGTATAAATGAGAGTAGGTGACGGTATGTTAATGTTGACGTCGTTTACCAGTCCTGTAACGTTTGCCATTTACCGATGTTAAGCCGGAGATATATCATCTGACCCAATCAGACTACTGAAGGACAACGCTATATATTTTTCAAATACCATCATAATCTTATGTTTAAGAAATAACTAAAACATAAATGTCCTTATTACAATAGTTCCATAATCATTAGCTATATCTGCTAAATACAGTTCATTGGAATGATGTTACCAGGTGTATCATGCCCTATGGTATATATAAGGTTGTATCCAACTGTCAAAAACACATGTAAAGGCAAGTCAAGTATTCATCTGAAAACACACCGGAACCAACCAGCCAATGAGAAGAGGCGTGAGCCAAGTGGAACCAACCTGAAACGTGAGGGATTCTGGGAAGGGTCTGGTGGTCATCTGAGAGATCCTTCAGGATTGCAGTTCCGGTAGGAGCACCGCCGCTACAAACCTTGCCCATCATGCGCACGCATAAAGACTCCCCGGCAGAGTGGATGCCCTTTGACCCCTTGTTGACCATGGAGTATTTACTGGAACAGCCTGAACTGGTCCCGTGAACGAAGTCGCCGTCCCATTGCTGCGAGTAGAAAACAGTATACCGGTCAATATTCCAGCGTCTGGAACCTTCAGCAGGTTAATTATTGCATCATTTCCATGTTGATGCATGACGTTACGAAATATAAACATTTGTATACATGACGACCAGGTAAGATGTGTTGTGGCAAGAGCCAAAACAGTGTGTTTGTCTGGAGGCAGTGGAAGCTTTAAATTTAATATTTAAATAAAACTTAAATATAAACTGATAAGACACACAAACATATCATGTCACTGTGGAAGATGAACGGTCGATTCCTTGAAATGTTAAATATTCACCCGATTTAAAATTCTGTATAACAGTTTTCTTGTCTGTAATTGACATGTCTACACTGTAACTGATCTAGGACCGTGGCATTCAGTCTTCCTAAAGCAAGTACATGTATATGGTTTAAGGACCAGTGAGTCTAAAAACAGGTATATGGATCTACCTGGATGCCCTGTACTGGTGCGCTGAAGGTCATGTCTATCTCCCAGCCCACTGTGGCGGTCGTCAGCTTGAAGCAGTACTTGCCCTCGAAGTTGTTGTCCCAGTGTTGCATCAACTCAAACTTAGTTGTCATGTCGTTTCCGGTGACACCGGAAGCGACAAGGAGAAGAATTAGCGGCAACATGGTTCCTGGTGGCGAAAGACATCAAGCCGTAAAGATGTTCAGTCATGTTCTAATTTATAAAAGTAAATATTCTCCATCCTCACACGGCATTAGTTCTGTATCTTGTGAAAGGTGCAAAACTCACCAAGCCCAAACCCGGGGATCACAATCTCGATTGTACTGAATAGGTCATCTATATAATTATTTCTCCTGCCTAGCATGTTTGACAATTTGATTAAAGCTACAAAACCCTTTCCATAATCCGACTACAAAAAAAGTCCGTTTGAGTCAGAAACGGACCGATGAATTGCAAATTTTATCATTGTACAAAATTGCCACATAAATATAAATAGTACACATGTTTATCATTTACTAATACCCAACAGCTTTCTTATATTTGAAAAATTTCCAGACTCCACCAAAAAAGTTCTTTAAGAAACTATCATTATTGAAAACGCAAACGTTGTTCTCCACGCCGTACATCAGGTTCGAATCTTCATCTGCTGCCCGGGGGCAGTGTGGTCTCTGTGTGTACACTGCTGGAATATCCATAGAAGAGGCACCAACAGCAATATGTACACCTGACCTACATTTGCTAATCTGAGAGGTTACCTGGGTATTTCATCCAGCACACATTGGGATAAACAGTCGTAGAGTACTACTAAATGTATACGCTTGAAAATGAATTGATCACAACGTTCAAGTCATTTAGAAAGATCATATGTATGTTATATTTTGGATTTTACTTTCTCAGTAAAGAACAGATTTATGTACACTTTTTGGTAGATCGCTGACACAAAGAAAGTCCGAGTCCGAATCCCGGGTATAGCTCACCCTCCAATACCTACAAGAGTCTGAACGTCGCTGAGGAAGTATTATTTCAAACATAACATATGTTACACTGTAGTGTAAGGTCCACAACACAACCATGACACCCTGTAGCAAATACATCACTATTGATTATCCTTTTTTCATATTTAGCCATCACCAAGCACGTTCTTTGGCCAAGCAGTTTAGGTATGTAAGTTAGATTGGTCAAGGCAGTAAGGTGGGCTGGCGCCATTACGTAAACCATAAAGTGTTCGCTTAAAGGAGAATACTAAAGCAAAAGTTTTTCATAGGGGTAAAAGCATTCTAAAAGTCCCCTTATATGACTAAAATTGAACAAAAAGTTTGAAAAAATCGCAATAAACACGTGAAAACGGACTCGCATTTCCCCTATTACGGAAACACCAGTAAAGAAAGGTGTAGTGGGACGACAATCATTTGTTAATGCACTAATGGACTCGTCAGTAGACATTGTGTACGTCCCAAATCGTTGAAGAAAGGTACAGACATCTCCCTCGAACCTACATTACTAAATGATAGGAAGGTCAACTCACCTGTCTTGAAGAGACGGGACTGACTAGATTGAGACTACAGATCATATATAAGATCTGAGTTTGAGATCAGCCGGTGGTTAGGTTCACATGCTGCCTATCTGATAACGAACTCATTCTTCAACCTTGGCATGTTCACTTCAGTCCAATCACGTTTTTTATGTGTTTCTCATTCCCTAAAGGCCAAAGAGAGGACGGGCGAAACAAAAAACAAGAAGAAAATGTTTTCACTTATTTCGAACATTTGGTAATCGGATTTACATGAATTTATTATGAACATCGAGTTGCTTTGGAATTTGTGAAAATATGGCTGCGGAAATTTCACCCTGACCTGGGTGTTTTATGAGTGGAATAGTAAGACTAGTTTATTCTTATGAGATCGGTGCATACATCTTATTATCAAAACAAATATTAATATTTCATGTGTGAATGAAAAGTCAGGTTGGGTTGGAAATGGGAAACACAGGAAAAAATCGGACAGCCTTAGATAAAACTTGTACATTACTTCTGTGAGGGAAGTATTTCTTATGGAAGCCAAGAAGGGCATTATCGCTTTGTCTTTAATACAAAAACTATGACATGATATGTACATCTTTGTTTCCTTGAAACTAAAATATCCATCAAATCGTCATATTATCGCGTTTTATGAATTATATGTTGTTGTATCTTTTTATTAAGTGAAAATGTTACAACATTTTTGTATTGGTGCTACAGTACCATTTCAATCTACATGTATTGTTTGATGCCAGAATCGCTTCCGACATTTAGTCATTTTTTATCAGTGACTGAGAAATCGCGAGAAATCTCTATATTCTAGATTTTATTATGGGTTGTCTTGACCATCGCTGAATTGTGTGCTCCATCGCTAGATCGTCTAGTCCATCGCTGAATTATCTCGTCTAACGCTGAATTGTCTCGTCCATCGTTTGATTGTCTAGTCCGAAGCTGAATTGTCTAGTCCATCGCTTAATTGTCTGGTCCATCGCTTGATTGTCTTGTCCATCGCTTGATCGTCAAGTCCATCGCTTGATTGTCTGGTCCATCGCTTGATTTCTAGTCCATCGCTTGATTGTCTAGTCCATCGCTTGATTGTTTTGTCCATTGCTTGATTGTCTAGTCCATCATTTCATTGTCTAGTAAATCGCTGAATTGTCTAGTCCATCGCTTGATTGTCTATTCCATCGCTTTATTGTCTTGTCCATCGCTTGATTGTCTAGTCCATAGCTTGATTGTCTAGTCCATAGCTTGATTGTCTAGTCCATTGCTTGATTGTCTAGTCCATCGTTTGATTGTCTAGTAAATCGCCGGAATTGTCTGGTCCATCGCTTGATTGTCTGTACCATCGCGTTTTGATTGTTCTAGTCCATCACTTTATTGTTCAGTCCATCAATGAATTGTCTGGTCCATCGCTTGATCGTCAAGTCCATCGCTTGATTGTCTAGTCCATCGCTTGATTGTCCAGTCCATCGCTGAATTGTCTAGTCCATCGCTTGATTGTAACGTCTATCGCTTGATTGTCTAGTCCATCGCTTGATTGGTTAGTCCATCGCTTGATTGTTTTGTCCATTGCTTAGATTGTCTTGTCCATCGTTTGATTGTCTAGTCCATCGCTTGATTGTCTAGTCCATCGTTTGATTGTCTAGTCCATCGCTGAATTGTCTAGTCCATCGCTTGATTGTCTAGTCCATCGCTTGATTTCTAGTCCATAGCTTGATTGTCTAGTCCATCGCTTGATTGTTTTGTCCATTGCTTGATTGTCTAGTCCATCATTTCATTGTCTAGTAAATCGCTGAATTGTCTAGTCCATCGCTTGATTGTCTATTCCATCGCTTTATTGTCTTGTCCATCGTTTGATTGTCTAGTCCATAGCTTGATTGTCTAGTCCATCGCTTGATTGTCTAGTCCATTGCTTGATTGTCTAGTCCATCGTTTGATTGTCTAGTAAGTCGCTGAATTGTCTGGTCCATCGCTTGATTGTCTGTACCATCGCTTGATTGTCTAGTCCATCACTTTATTGTCTAGTCCATCAATGAATTGTCTAGTCCATCGCTTGATTGTCTAGTCCATCGCTTGATTGTCTAGTCCATCGCTTGATTGTCTAGTCAATCGCTTTATTGTCTAGTCCATAGCTTGATTGTCTTGTCCATTGCTTGATTGTCTAGTCCATCGTTTGATTGTCTAGTAAATCGCTGAATTGTCTGGTCCATCGCTTGATTGTCTGTACCATCGCTTGATTGTCTAGTCCATCGCTTGATTGTCTAGTCCATCTATGAATTGTCTAGTCCATCGCTGAATTGTCTAGTCCATCGCTTGATTGTCTAGTACATCGCTTGATTGTCTAGTTCATCGCTGAATTGTCTAGTCCATCGCTTGATTGTCTAGTCCATCATTTAATTGTCTAGTCCATCGCTGAATTGTCTAGTCCATCTCTGGATTGTTTAGTCCATCTCTTGATTGGTTAGTCCATCGCTTGATTGTTGTGTCCATTGCTTGATTGTCTAGTCCATCATTTGATTGTCTAGTAAATCGATGAATTGTCTAGTCCATCGCTTGATTGTCTATTCCATTGCTTGATTGTCTAGTCCATTGCTGAATTGTCTAGTCCATCGCTTTATTGTCTAGTCCATAGCTTGATTGTCTTGTCCATTGCTTGATTGTCTAGTCCATCGTTTGATTGTCTAGTAAATCGCTGAATTGTCTAGTCCATCGCTTGATTGTCTGTACCATCGCTTGATTGTCTAGTCCATCACTGAATTGTCTAGTCCATCGCTTGATTGTAATGTCTATCGCTGAATTGTCTAGTCCATTGCTTGATTGGTTAGTCCATCGCTTGATTGTTTTGTCCATTGCTTGATTGTCTTGTCCATCGTTTGATTGTCTAGTCCATCGCTTGATTGTCTAGTCCATCGCTTGATTGTCTAGTCCATCGCTGAATTGTCTAGTCCATCGCTTGATTGTCTAGTCCATCGCTTGATTGTCTAGTCCATCGCTTTATTGTCTAGTCCATAGCTTGATTGTCTTGTCCATTGCTTGATTGTCTAGTCCATCGTTTGATTGTCTAGTAAATCGCTGAATTGTCTGGTCCATCGCTTGATTGTCTGTACCATCGCTTGATTGTCTAGTCCATCGCTTGATTGTCTAGTCCATCTATGAATTGTCTAGTCCATCGCTTGATTGTCTAGTCCATCGCTTGATTGTCTAGTACATCGCTTGATTGTCTAGTTCATCGCTGAATTGTCTAGTCCATCGCTTGATTGTCTAGTCCATCGCTTAATTGTCTAGTCCATCGCTGAATTGTCTAGTCCATCGCTGGATTGTTTAGTCCATCTCTTGATTGGTTAGTCCATCGCTTGATTTCTAGGATTGGTTGTGTCCATTGCTTGATTGTCTAGTCCATCATTTGATTGTCTAGTAAATCGATGAATTGTCTAGTCCATCGCTTGATTGTCTATTCCATTGCTTGATTGTCTAGTCCATCGCTGAATTGTCTAGTCCATCGCTTTATTGTCTAGTCCATAGCTTGATTGTCTTGTCCATTGCTTGATTGTCTAGTCCATCGTTTGATTGTCTAGTAAATCGCTGAATTGTCTAGTCCATCGCTTGATTGTCTGTACCATCGCTTGATTGTCTTGTCCATCGCTTTATTTTCTAGTCCATCACTGAATTGTCTAGGCCATCGCTTCATTGTCTAGTCCATCGCTGAATTGTCTAGTCCATCGCTGAATTGTCTAGTCCATCGCTTGATTGTCTAGTAAATCGCTGAATTGTCTTGTCCATTGCTTGATTGTCTAGTCCATCGTTTGATTGTCTAGTAAATCGCTGAATTGTCTAGTCCATCGCTTGATTGTCTGTACCATCGCTTGATTGTCTTGTCCATCGCTTTATTGTCTAGTCCATCACTGAATTGTCTAGGCCATCGCTTCATTGTCTAGTCCATCGCTGAATTGTCTAGTCCATCGCTGAATTGTCTAGTCCATCGCTTGATTGTTTTTCAGTCCGCTTTCGTATAGCAGACGTATTGCTGCTCGGAGTGTGGGTACCACTCTAACTGTGTGTCTCAGAATCAAACTGTTGCATTTTACAATAAGCAAGGATATTGCTGGTGCGGCGGTTTGAATAAAACAAACACGTATTTATGCAGATTCTGTCAGTGGCGGGTGTTTCCATTAGAGCAGGACATGCCGTCTTTTGACACGAATTCAGGGATCCATTAACATATTTGTCACAGCTGTTTTCCCTGGTATGCCCAATGAAATCTGCTTGTAGAATTCATTGGGGTTAAGAAGATCATCTCCACGGCTGGTACAGGGGGAGTATTAACATCCAGTCTATATATTCCTGTTCCAGGAACCTTCAGAGTCTCAGATTAAAGGTTAGATAACAGTGAACCTCGTATGTAGATTCAGTTGCCTAATATGACTATTTGAAGAAGACGACTTCAGAATGTGTTTGTATTAAATTTAAAAACAACATCAGGAAAACAATTGAATCAGAAAGGGGGATAGTCTTTGTACATGGCTGTTTAACACAAAAATGACAAAACTGTTCACTACTGCTCAGCATAACAGGGGTCGCCTAGTGGTAAAGCGTTCGCTCGTCACGCCGAAGAGCATGGTGTGAAACCCATTTTGGTACCCCGCCGTGATATTGCTAAAAACGGCGTAAAACTCAATCACTCACTAGAACAAAGAATGGTACGATGAACTGAACTCGTGGATGAGTTTTTTTTATTGTGAATATAATCCTGATCAAACTTAAAATGAATATTGACGTTTATTTGATCAATATTTCTTCACGCGAAATTCTGATCAAGATTTTAGAGACAAGAGTAAACCTATTCATTCAAACGTAACGAATGTACGTACATTCGTTTACTAACTTATTAACACCTTTTCAGGGATACTAAACAAAATATGTCATATTGTTCAAGAATAGTTTACAATCTGTAATCCAAGTATTCTGTTTATATGCACAAAATGTTCCAGGTTCCCATGTCAAACGAGAGATAAATGCGGAATATGACGTATTATTGGTTTAGTTTGCCCTAGAGAATAAGGCAGGTTCTTCTTATAATGTTATGTGATGGCAAAATATAGGAAATAGGACGGTTATGACTTGGGGTGTTGTCTGTTGTGTTGCGTTTCAATTAGTGAGGTACGATAATGTTTTTCTAGTACAAAAACAAGAACTCCTTGGTCCACCAGTACCATAACCGTGGTGTTCCCGAATTAATGGTGAACAATTTACCAGCCTTTGCATGTGTTTCTGACGGATGTCACCGGTGGGACAGGATACGCTCACCTGTTAGCGAAGACCTGCTATCATCACTATTTGATAGCGGTTCATAGACACATAGATTTAGTCAGAAATGTACAATCGACTCTGCTTTTACCAGAGATTATTTATAGATGTAGAAAGTTGGGTTTTTTCGCATTATTTAGTTTTCATCAAAGTGTAAACGTCAACGTCTCTCCTACTTTCTGACACGAATTCATTAAATACCGTCAGTTCACTCAAGCTAAAAGCCTTCTATATAGTTATAGTTATGCCATAAGTTTCACTATCACCAAGTTTACTCCATGAAATATCTTGCGTGTGACATAAGATCTTTGTAGTGCGATATATACAGAAACACATCAACAAGCTTGGTACACTATACACATTTATTTCTACGGGCACACATCCTTGTAAGAAGACGGCAGTTCCTTGGCAATGGCAAGATGAAGCAGACCTGCAAGAGATCAAATAATTAAGGAACAGCTTAGGTATTTCAAAGGTTCACACGTTGAATTTTTATGCCTAAATTACGTCAACACAGGGGGATGCGTGACGATACACAAAGTTTATACAAAAAGGACACTTGTTAAGTGTGGGGGAGAAACCCCAACCACACGGGGTGACAATGTGACAAACAGTGAAATATGTGTATCTTTAGGCTGGTGACACGAGTCACAAATCAGAATGACTCTTGTTTTATGGGGTCCTCACCTGCAACGGCAGATTGGAATCCTGCGTTGTAGTCGCATGCCACCTCGTTTTGACGTAGTCAGTTCTGTCGTCGGTGTAACGGTCGTCTTTACAGGGGCCGCCCACCATGGCGCCGTACAGCGTGTGGGGGTCGGGAACCTTGCATCTGCTCCTCGTCAAACCCACACGGGGCAGGCAGCATGGGACACGACCTGGGGAGTGAGTAGTGAGTGAGTGAGTTGGGTTTAAGGCCGCTTTTAGTTGAACTTATTTCAATAGAGTTGCGTTTTGATATTTGGAGTTATCTCCACTCCATTTAATGGTAGCTGAGCGTGGTTTGGCCTGTATCGAACGAAGGATCAATTGACCGATTTTCGGTCAAAACTATACTGAAATGCAAGGCACAATGAAATTTGCTAGGATTTCTTCTTAAACTGGCTGCTTAGTCTTCACCACAAAGAGATATCTGAAAACATATTTGTGATACTTTGTTTAGTTTATTTAACGATGTGTCACAATAGCGTGTAATCTAGAAATACACTGGAAGTGGAAATTTGATATGTACTCTCCCATGAAAGAAACGCATAGGTGATATTGATAAATGAAATTTCAAATATTTTTCAGTAGCGTTTGAATGTTATAATTCCGCCAGAATAATGCTGTTTTGTGTACATGGATCGAATGCACAGCGCAAAAACGCATCTTCAGAAACTTTAATGCACGTTTACGTTCGAAAGTGTCAACTTCCGTGAAAATGTCATGGAGAAAAGGAGTTCGCGGTCCTGAGGAATCGTGAGCAGGGACAATGTCTATGTAAGGCCGTTTTGCTTTTAGACGGTCATTTGCATGTTTTAGCTGAATGAAAGTGCCTGATCTGAGGAGAGTGTTGTCGCAAACTAATCATAATCGATTACGAGAAGCTGGACTTCGAGCCAGAGGACCCTATTCTGGGGCTTGTGCTGCGATAAACTAAAATCGACGTCAACGGGTCCAGCGATGCAATAACGTTCGATTCTGGATGGTTCAGTGCCGCGATGGAAGAGTACTTGTCTGTAGACGTTAAAATGAAAGTTTTGCCAAGAATTTAATTTGTCGCCAAGGTTGACCGATATGGTGGTGATCCCACACGCAGAAATCTAACTTAAGGCGCCTTCAGGGCAATTTAACTGCTATTAGGTACAAAGACGAAATCTGAGGGATTCACATGGTTCCGATCATTGACCGCCAGAGGGAGTTGTTCCAGCAAGATAATGTCAGGTCTCACACAAAACACGTCACTAGTCATTATCTTCAGAACGAGCACATTACAGTGGGATGACCTCGGCCGACGCTTACGTGAACGTAAATAGGCGCCCCAGCCGTTATTGTCGCAGGCTCATGGTGGCCAATTTTTCTAGCTACACATGTTAACATGCATTTGATCTTTTATACTGTGAAATCTGGCGGTAACGGATCTAGAAATACATGTTATATTTCACTTTAAACTTAGCAGATTAAATTCGTGAAAATACACCTAAGCGTTTCTTTTAGGGAGAGTATACTACTCACGCAGCTCTGTGGTGGGGACGTTGTGGTGGGTTGGTGCCAAAGCCGACGACAAAACTCCGCCCGGCGTCACCGAGGGCGTAGTTGATCTGAGACATGGCCCACTTCCGGTTGTTTACGGGATCGATTCCGGCGTCAGCAGCAACAAGAGCCAGAAGAGCTGTGTTAGCTGTCAGGAAAAGATAATCGTGTGAGCGTTCAACACTCGGAACGTGTCGGTAAGTTCCGGGAGACAAAGCTGGATGTTGTTTGTACACAGCAACATCAGCGCTACTACTATTGTCAGTCGTATCTTAACGTGTACGATCATCTCCGTGCTAAGACTGCTTTGTACAGTGATAACCAGCACTTTAATTCTTGATAATTCTTGACAAGTGTGGTCCTACAGCTGCCTTATAAACCATGATACAAGATAACATTTTGGTTGTCAATGGTAACAGTCCTTAATGTGAGCAACTGAAATCACAAGTTGATATTTCTCGCAGGAGATTCCTGCAATTCTCAGGGATTGAATATCATAAAAATATCCCAATGATTTCTATGTTACGGGTAATCCAGTGGCCCGGGCTGCAAAGCAGAATGCAGAGCGGTCTGTCGGGTAACTGACGTGATCGAGTAGTCAGGCTCACTGACTTAGTTGATGCCTGTCATCCTGTCCCTATGCTTCTCATCCTGTCCCTAGGCCTGTCATCCTGTCCCTGGGCCTGTCATCCTGTCCCTAGCCCTGTCATCCTGTCCCTAGGCCTGTCATCCTGTCCCTAGGCTTGTCATCCTGTCCCTAGGCCTGTCATCCTGTCCCTGGGCTTGTCATCCTGTCCCTGGGCCTGTCATCCTGTCCCTGGGTCTGTCATCCTGTCCCTGGGCCTGTCATCCTGTCCCTAGGCCTGTCATCCTGTCCCTGTTATCCTGTCCCTATGCCTGTCATCCTGTCCCTAAGCCTGTCATCCTGTCCCTGTTATCCTGTCCCTATGCCTGTCATCCTGTCCCTGGGCCTGTCATCCTGTCCCTAGGCCTGTCATCCTGTCCCTGTTATCCTGTCCCTAAGCCTGTCATCCTGTCCCTAGGCTTGTCATCCTGTCCCTATGCCTGTCATCCTGTCCCTATGCCTGTCATCCTGTCCCTATGCCTGTCATCCTGTCCCTATGCCTGTCATCCTGTCCCTATGCCTGTCATCCTGACCCTAGGCCTGTCATCCTGTCCCTAGGCCTGTCATCCTGGTGTCCCTAGGCCTGTCATCCTGGTGTCCCTAGGCCTGTCATCCTTTCCCTAGGCCTTTCATCCTGTCCCTAGGCCTGTCATCCTGGTGTCCCTAGGCCTGTCATCCTGTCCCTATGCCTGTCATACTGTCCCTAGGCCTGTCATCCTGTCCCTATGTCTGTCCCTAGGCCTGTCATCCTGGTGTCCCTAGGCCTGTCATCCTGTCCCTAGGCCTGTTATCCTGGTGTCCCTAGGCCTGTCATCCTGGTGTCCCTAGGCCTGTCATCCTTTCCCTAGGCCTTTCATCCTGTCCCTAGGCCTGTCATCCTGGTGTCCCTATGCCTGTCATCCTGTCCCTATGCCTGTCATCCTGACCCTAGGCCTGTCATCCTGTCCCTAGGCCTGTCATCCTGACCCTAGGCCTGTCATCCTGTCCCTATGCCTGTCATCCTGTCCCTAGGCCTGTCATCCTGTCCCTGGGCCTGTCATCATGTCACTGGGCCTGTCATCCTGGCCCTAGGCCTGTCATCCTGGTGTCCCTAGGCCTGTCATCCTGGTGTCCCTAGGCCTGTCATCCTGTCCCTAGGCCTGTCATCCTGTCCCTAGGCCTGTCATCCTGTCCGTATGTCTGTCACTTTGCCTGTCATCCTGTCCCTATGCCTGTCATCCTGTCCTTATTTCGCAGATTGATGTCAATGGACTGCCATGTAGAGACTCGACTATTTACAGATCGCCTTCATATAGAGTGCGGCTTAGAACAAACACATTATACCTGCTCTGTGCAAGTTATTACATGACGTGATAAGACAAACATACATTTCAAAACAGTGTTAAACTCACTCATTCACTCACTCACTCACTCACGAGATTCCCCTGTGGAGGAGGTGTTCAGACATACCGGCATATCTGAGAGGTATACTATCCGAACAACCTAGCTACAAATCAAACCAACGTTTGTTCACACAAGGTCTTCTTAAGATGCCTCCCACTTACATTGGCACCGCCGATCTTCTCATCCCAGGAGAATCCCCAGGCTGTTTTGTTCACGAAGTGTTGCTCGGCGAAGGCAAGGTACTTCTTGTCTCCAGTAGCCTTGTACAGCCACATCCCTCCCCAGCTGAACTCGTCCTCGTAGTCCTGGGACCTGATATACGAGACAATGTCCACCTTAGTCATCACTGGTGTCGACTGGACACAGACACAGGGTTCAGTTGAAGCGAACACTCCCCTATCACTCCAGGCAATTTGCTGGTCTGAGTTTAATAATACTTCAAGTCCCATTTTATGAAACCCATGAAATGATACGTTTTTCGCGTAAACGATGTCGCTTACTTGTAATATGCAGCTGCGGCGTTGACACTGTCGCTGTATTTACCAGGATGTGCCTTTCCAAACTCGAACAGCTGTTTGGCATGGGTCAAGAGTGTGTTTGCATATGCAGTGTCTGGCAAAGAGAATCGCTCACTTTAGGGAAAACATTCAGTGTACCAACCCCATATTGACAATACTGTGCCGTCCTTTAATGATCGGAACTTAGATTTGTGAGATTTTCTGTTTGAAATTGTATGGACTTCGCCCTCGTCAATGAACAAATTCACGCATCCCCGTATAAGATCAGTTTGTTTGTTTTCCATCTCTTTCAGAATTTGGTCCCAACAATCCCGAACAAACAAAATCCATAAGTTTGTGGTGTCCCAACCTCCTTTTTGCTTGAAGACAATGGATCCAGCTGCCATTGCAGCAGCAGTTTCCATGGCAATATCAGATCCCGGATTAGAAGCATCGATTTTGAAGGAGGGTCTCTTTTCGGTCATGCGCTCTGGGCTAGTCCAAGAGCCATGGTCAACACCGCCATCGCCCACCTAGCGGAAATGACGTCACAAAAACGGTAAACAAGCATGATACATGAAGGTTTCACAATTATGCAAATATGGCCTACAGTGTTAAATATTTCTTATTTCAATGAATTTATAAAGGTATACTGTACATTTACAAGTGTTTCGGATCGTCAAATGTCTATGCTTCATACTGATAAAAGTTCATTAATTTGTGCAAATACATATTTTCATATTTGACATTTTAGAAAGCCGTCATGATGGAAGATGTCGTGTATTTTCATGTATGTATGGACAATCGCAAGACAAAGGTGTTTCTGTTTATGTGTTGCATGGAACCCGATCTCTCAATCCACCTGGTCATCCCGCACAACAAGTACATGTTGCTGAGACCTGGCCATTCTAACCTGGAACTCCCAGACAGGAGTTCAACTCAACCAATACTGAAGTCCTTCACCAGAGTTTAACTCAACCAATACTGAAGTCCTTCACCAGAGTTTAACTCAACCAATACTGAAGTCCTTCACCAGAGTTTAACTCAACCAATACTGAAGTCCTTCACCAGAGTTTAACTCAACCAATACTGAAGTCCTAACTCAACCAATACTGAAGTCCTTCACCAGAGTTCAACTCAACCAATACTGAAGTCCTTCACCTGAGTTTAACTCAACCAATACTGAAGTCCTTCACCAGAGTTTAACTCAACCAATACTGAAGTCCTTCACCAGAGTTTAACTCAACCAATACTGAAGTCCTTCAACTGAGTTTAACTCAACCAATACTGAAGTCCTTCACCAGAGTTTAACTCAACCAATACTGAAGTCCTTCACCAGAGTTTAACTCAACCAATACTGAAGTCCTTCACCAGAGTTTAACTCAACCAATACTGAAGTCCTTCACCAGAGTTTAACTCAACCAATACTGAAGTCCTTCACCTGAGTTTAACTCAACCAATACTGAAGTCCTTCACCAGAGTTTAACTCAACCAATACTGAAGTCCTTCACCAGAGTTTAACTCAACCAATACTGAAGTCCTTCACCAGAGTTTAACTCAACCAATACTGAAGTCCTTCACCAGAGTTCCGAATGTCATCTCAATGCTTTAACATCGTGTCAGTGAATGTTCTTTCAACATGAAAGTCAGCATTATGTCAGCTACATCAGTGCATCCTGAACCAACAAACCGGAAATTGAATGGTGATCCCCTGAACTCTTAATACAAGACAGGATTACCGAGGAATCTAATCTGCCCCAGTCTCACGGCCTTCACCAGTCTTATTGCTATGTGTAGCGACGCTCCTGAATCTACTGGACTCACCTGGACATACAGCTCGTTGGGTTTGGTGTGACACTTGATGAAGTAGTCCAGTGGCCACTTGATGCTTTGGTACATTACGTCGAGTTGACCAGACTTAACGTAGGCGTCCTTCCACATTAACAAGCCCCATGACAACACCGTCGTACTCCACGCCATCGGGAAGTTGAACTTAACGTTGTCTCCAGCTGCGAGCAAAGCACAGTTATGAAGAACTAAATGACCAATGAATAATTACCCTTCCCTGCCCTTTGACCATCTTTCATCAAGACCATAATCTAACATCACAACAACTATCAGTAGTGTCATCACACTGTACATCAACCTCTTCAATTGTATAAACTCAAATATCCTTTATTTATATAGTCCCCGTGTGTATCACGGTGTGCATCACTTGCTTGATAACGGAGTTAGCAGCAACAACGTCGCATCAAATGCAATAAAGAAGTTGTCAATTCCTCTTCATCATACCAGCTTTTAAATGCCACTTACAGAAATTACATCGCTCCTGATTCAGTTTGGAGCACGCACCATTAAGTAACCTACCGTGGTGCCTTTGACCAAAGTTTTGCCACGCATAGTTCCGTAATTTTTCATTGTATATTTGATTCCTCGGTGGTGCTGTGTAAGTCTGAGTTGGTCATCACATAAGGAATATATGTGACACTCACCGTCATACCATCCCCCAGTGAGATCCTCCCCCTGACACTTATCACCAAGGGCGGAGTCGGCCCTCCATGGGATGCGGTTATTCGCCGGAAGTTTACCGGATCGTTGGGCTTCGTAGAACAGGATGGACTTCATCAACACTTCAGCGTAGTTATACTTGGTGTGCTCGGCACCTACAAACAGCACGATATCATAGTGATGGGTAAACCAGGGGCCCAGTTTCGAGGCTTTTGTATTAATAGCAGTACGCGACAGTTAACATGAGAGTACGTGACTGTATGTTAATGTCAATTGGACTCTATTCTTTAAAACAGTTCACGTTATAACTTTTACACATAATATATACCCCTCTTGAGCCTGAGGGGTATCTGAATTCCAATTTGGAATATAAATTCCGTCCATACAGTAGTTATCAAATTCAGAGCTGGTGTCTTACGTTTAAAGAATAACGTAGGAAGGTGGCAAAATATTTATGTGTCTCTAAGAAATTGTCCTGTATGTAAAGAAGATTTAGAAGATGAATATCACTTTTTGTTGAAATGAACTTCGGGGTAGATTTTTGCCAAAGAACTGGCAAGTTTATATGATATCTTTCAGTAATATCCTGAAACAAACCAAAACTAAAGACATTACCAATCAAGATCGTTTTATCTATTATGCATAAGAAATGAGAGTAAAGTTAGTAAAAATAGAAAACAGGTATTAAAATTCTAAAGATGCCAGTACAGCATAATATATTTTAATATATTTTACTAGGTGTGTGACTTAATCTGTGCAGGTAGACAGATAGATGCTATGAAATTTGAGAAAATTTTCCATTTTTCGTTCACGCCTTTATACCTGTTTGGAATATGTATATTAATATGTATATGGGCCTGTGGCCTTCATACGTAATAAAGTTTTTCACGATGGTTCCCCAGTTATACTACTTAAGGACAAAACCACTCTGTAAAGAAATCTATATAGCAACCAATTCAATAGTGTATTGCACGATTCCATCAACATCGTAAACATGAATGCCGGAACGAATTATCATCAAATATGGACTGCGAACTGATTCATTGGGCGCTGCACACAAATGTTAAACAGCTGACTAACTTTCCTGAACGTTAAACTCACACCACCTGATTCAATTAAAATGCTACTCTACGCTGCGTTAAGACTCACTCACTCACTCACTCACTCACTCACTCACTCACTCACTCACTCACTCACTCACTCACTCACTCACTCACTCACTCACTCACACTCACTCACTCACTCACTCACTCACTCACTCACTCACTCACTCAACCCTCTCACGCCAAGGATTGGTCTATTGGTTGGCCTGGTACTTGGTCTCGGGTTATTACTGCCTCCTACAGCATCAATACGTTCAGACAGAACAAGCAAGAATCATGGAGGAACAATGAGAATAAATCGACTAAACCCTTTCCATAAGCTATCTCTGCTAGAGTTCATTGGAGTGATTTTACGAGGTGTATCCTGCCCTATGGCATTATTTAGGTCAAGTACCTGAAAACAAACCGGAGCCAACCAGCCAATAAGAAACGTGATATAAGTGGAACCAACCTGAAACTTGAGGGATTCTGGGAAGGGTCTGGTGGTCATCTGAGAGATCCTTCAGGATTGCAGTTCCGGTAGGAGCACCGCCGCTACAAACCTTGCCCGTCATGCGCAAGCATAAAGAATCCCCGGCAGCGTAAATGCCCTTTGACCCCTTGTTGACCAAGGAGTATTTGCTGGAACACCCTGAACTGGTCCCGTGAATGTAGTCGCCGTCCCATTGCTACATGCAGAGAACAGAATACCGGTCAATATTCCAGCGTCTGGGTCTGGCGCTCGGCATTAATGGGTACAACAAGGACTGGTAGGCTCGGAGTCAGTATAATGTGTCAGAGTCGGGTATTCATGTTTAACTGTGGCATGGTGTCTCAGTGAGCTGGCACTAGAAAATCAGCTTAAGTCTGGGCTTGTACAAGCAGCCACACATACACACGCATGCATGTCATATGAGCGGAATATTCTTAAGTACGACGTTCAACTCAATTTCACCTCACCTTCAGCGTCTGGAACCTTAATGGGATAATTATTATATCATTTATATGATGATGCTCGACGCTGAAAATAAAAATATTTGTGTACCGAATGGCCGGTTAAGATGCGATGTGGGAGTGGTAAGAACCAAAACACACAGTTTGTCCGGGAAGGAAGCAGCTTAAATACCGGGGAAAGAAAGTTATCACTTTTAAAGTAATTGTATAAAAACAAAAACGTTGGTACAGGTTTGAACCCAAGCAGAAAACAAAACGTAACATGACTGGGTGAGAGTGCTCTTTACAGAGGAAAGTCGGCTCAGAAAGGATGGCAGATTTCGAGTTTTTCGACGCAGAGGAGAGCGACTGGCGCCAAGCTGCTTTCAAGAATCTCGCTCGATGGAGGAGGCGTCATGGTTTGGGGCGGCATTTGTGGCCAAAGAACAACAAGACTGGTTATCATCTGAGGAACCGAGCGATACAGGGATGAAGTGTTGAGACCTTTTATGCTGCCATTTATTCGACAACAGCCAAAAGGAATCATTTTGCAGTACGGCAACGTAATGGCTTACCAGAATTGTTCGAGAATACCTGCACAACGTTAAATTCAACGTATTGCCTTGGACAGCGCGTTCTCAAGTCATTACCCTATTGAGCAGCTCTGGGATCATCTTAATCTTGAGCTGTGACAGCGTCTGCCACCCCCAGCGAACACAGGAACTTCTCTTGGATTTATGGAACAGTATTCCTGCTGACTGACCACGTCAATGAGAAGACGTGTGTTGGTGTGTATGGATGGCGCAACTCGCAACTGATGACGTGCCCCCTGAGTCCTGTCTCAGTATGTGACTCTTTATGCACTTGTTGAATGACTCTATCTTAATGAACTGCTGCAGATGCAAGACCAGCATTACAATGAATGTTCAGTCACGTTACTGGAAAATGATTTTTGTCTGTTAAATATGCATAAATCTCACATAGGTATTTGTTTCTATTGTTTGGTCAAGTGAAGTTGAGGGGCGGTCGGGTAGCCTTGTGGTTAAAGCGTTGGCTCGTCACGCCAAAGACCCGGGTTCGAACCCCCACATGGGTAAAATGTGTGAAGCCCATTTCTGGTGTCCCCATTTCTGATGTTGCTGGAATATTGCTAAAAGCGGTGTAAAACCAAACTCTGTCAGTCAGTCAGTCAAGTGAAGTTGATGATAACTTTCTTTTGCCCGGTAGTTTACCTTGGCTCAAACAAAAACTGACAAGACACACAAACATATCATGTCACCGTGGACGATAAAAGGTCGAATCCTTGAAACGCGGAGCGTTTCTTTGTTGGACATGGTTTTTTGTCTGTATCTGAATGTAGCTAGCATGTAGAGTACAGTCTTTCTAAAGCGATGATATGGTTTTAGGACCAGAGCGTAAAGGCTTCCCAAAACAAGTATATGGATCTACCTGGATGCCCTGCACTGGTGCACTGAAGGTGATGTCGATCTCCCAGCCGATCGTGGCGGCTGCCAGTTTGAAGCAGAACTTGCCCTCAAAGTTGTTGTCCCAGTGTTGCATCAACTCAAACTTAGTTGTCATGTCCTTTCCGGTGACACCGGAAGCGACAAGGAGAAGAATAAGAGGCCACATGGTTCCTGGCGACGAAAGACATCAAGCCGTAGAAATGTTCAGTCATGTCCTAATTTATTAAATTTAAGTAAATATTCTCCATCCTCCCATAGTATTAGTTCTGTTAACCCATCTAGTAACAGTAATTCATTCATCGTGATGGGTGCAAAACTCACCAAGCCCAAACCCGGGGTATTGAATAGTTCATCTATATAATTATTTCTCCTGTCTAGCATGTTTGACAGTCTGATTAAAGTGATAAAACCCTTCCCGTAAAAAGGTTAACATCTGATAATGCACCCGTCACAAACACACGCAACGGCAAGTCAAGTGTAGGTGTTAAACAAACAAATGGTGCAGGTCAAAGTGAATGAAAACGAAAAGGTAATAATTAACAGATGATGGCCTAATGTACGTAAAACCGGCCCATAATATATGCCTGGTTGGTACCAGTGGCTTAGTGGACAACACGTTCTCTCTCCACGCCGTACACCAGGTTCGAATCCTCACATCTGATGCCCGGTGGCAGTGTGGTCACTGAAGAATACACTGCTGGAATATTGTTAAAACTTGCACCAATAGCAAAATGTACAGAGGTTACCTGGGTATTTTATCCTGCTCTTATTGGAATAAACAAACGTGCGAAGAATACTACCAAATGTATAAGCTTAAAAATGAATTGATCAAAATGTTAAATCCATTTAGACTGACTGACTGAGTTTGGTTTTACGCCGCTTTTAGCAATATTCCAGCAACATCACGGCGGGGGACACCAGAAATGGGCTTCACACATTGTTCCCATGTGGGGATTCGAACCCGGGTCTTCGGCGTGACGAGCCAACGCTTTAACCATTAGGCTACCCCACCGCCCCCATTTAAAAAGTGGTCAAAAATATGTTATATATTGGATTACACTCTCTCAGATAAGCACAGATTTTTGTATACACATTGTGTAGATTGCTCACTTTGTATGCATGCGATTAGGTGTGTCAGAGTGTGAGTGATAATCCCGGACGGATCGCATCCAACAAACGTACAAGAGTCTGTACTTCACTTTAAAACTCTATTACAGATCGAAAACACAACCACGACACCCTGTATTCATCACTATGTATTGACCTGATATTAGCCATCACCAAACAGGAGTGCATACTCTCTTTGGCCAGGCAGTTTAGGTATCGACGTCCTCTTGGCCTAGGCACTCTGGTGAGGTGGCACAACACAGGTGTCTGTCTCCGAGATCATGTTACTGTGAGTATGGGTAGACATTCACATTACCATGTCTGTGTTACCATATTATTGTGAATGTTTCAACAACGCACATGAAATCAAGTCATTTGTTAAAGAACTAGTCAGTAAACTCTGTGTACGTTCCTAGTCGGTAAAGGTAGATCTTTGAAGGGCATTTAGAAGTGGAATGCATGAGAAAAGAAAGATTTATGGATGTCAACTTCTTTATTGTGAATAACAGGACATCCATAAATCTTGCTCTTCGTTAAACGTATGTATAAATATCTCCCTCGAACCTACATTACGGAATGAATGGATGGTCAACTCACCTGTCTTGAAGAGACGGGACTGACTAGATAGAGACCACCAGATCATATATAGAGTCTGAGTTTGAGATCAGCCGGTGGTTAGGTTCACATGCTGCCTATCTGATAACGGACTCATTCTTCAACCTTGGCGTGTTCACCTCCGGCCATACATGGGGTTTTTCAAATTAAATCATGAAAATTTTATTTTTCATTTAACAGATAATCTTATCTTATTTAACGCCTTTAAATAGAGTTATGACGAAGATGGAGTGGCTTTGCTTGGAAACGAATGTGCAAAAATATAGGAATGATCAACCTGAAATGAGTTCTTTATGAGTATGCAATGGTAACAATATTTTATTTATTACTGGATCGGTGAATACATTTCCGAAACATCAGAAACATTTTAGATATGAATCTTTACCATCATTTCATGTCGGAATGAAAATTCAGGGCGTGTGGGAAACAGGAAACACAGAAAAACTTCGTATAGCCTTTGAGAACACTTGTACATGATGTAAACGGTGGGAAACTGTTATGGAAGACGTGAAGGGACACTATCGTCATTACAACACTAAGGAAACAATATCCAATGTGCAACGACAATGATTTTACGTGTGCTTCAGAGGGATGAAAATGGAGAAACCAGAGAGAGAATAAGTTTGGTTTTGAATAGACTGGTCTTCGGCGTGAGAGACGCTTTTTAACCCCTTTGGTTTTGTATAATAATACGTGGCTGGATACTTTTACGTATGGCACAGTTTGACAAGTCACCGTTGACTTCCCGCGGCACATGCCACTTTCATTGCAAAAACAAAATGTTGGCAATTAATTGTCAAATATTACTTCAATAAGTCAATAACGTAGGTCTCGGGGTCCATGGGGTTTACATGGGTGACTATAGTCCGTTTGGCTCAAAAGCGGACCGATGAATTGCAATCTAACTCAAAAACTTATAAACATAAAGATACTTAATGAAACGCTGATCATTATCAAAACATCATACCCACTGTGTGAGGTTTTTGCTACATGCTGCCTATCTGATAACGGACTCATTCTTCAACCTTGGCGTGTTCACCCTGCGGCCATACATGGGGTTTTTCAAATTAAATCATGAAAATTTTATTTTTCATTTAACAGATAATCTTATCTTATTTAACGCCTTTAAATAGAGTTATGACGAAGATGGAGTGGCTTTGTTTTGGAAACGAATGTGCAAAAATATAGGAATGATCAACCTGAAATGAGTTCTTTATGAGTATGCAATGGTAACAATATTTTATTTATTACTGGATCGGTGAATACATTTCCGAAACATCAGAAACATTTTAGATATGAATCTTTACCATCATTTCATGTCGGAATGAAAATTCAGGGCGTGTGGGAAACAGGAAACACAGAAAAAACTCATTATAGCCTTTGAGAACACTTGTACATGATGTAAACGGTGGGAAACTGTTATGGAAGCCGTGAAGGGACACTATCGCCATTACAACACTAAGGAAACAATATCCAATGTGCAACGACAATGATTTTACGTGTGCTTCAGAGGGATGAAAATGGAGAAACCAGAGAGAGAATAAGTTTGGTTTTGACGACTGAGTGAGTTTGGTTTTACGCCACTTTTAGCAATATTCCAGCAATATCACGGCGGGGGACACCAGAAATGGGCTTTTACTCATTGTACCCATGTGGGGATTCGAACCCGGGTCTTCGGCGTGACGAGCCAACGCTTTAACCACTAGACCACCCCACCACCCCTTTGGTTTTGAATAGAGGAGTTTTAACGTATAATAATACGTGGCTGGATACAATTTACGTATGGCACAGTTTGACAAGTCACAGTTGACTTCCCGCGGTACATGCCACTTTCATTGCAAAAACAAAATGTCTGCAATTAATTGTCAACTATTACTTCAATGAGTCAATAACGTAGGTCTCGGGGTCCATGGTGTGTACATGGGTGACTAGGCGTTAATGAGTTCGTGTTTGTTGAGAATAATGTGAAATTGGTGCTATCGCTGTAGAAGCGAAAAGCGCATCCTCAGTGGCCTCAGTGGCCGCATGGTAAGCGGAAGTTGTCGGCGTATAGAATGAGGTGATCTTACACAAGCCATTTCACACACGTTTTCACAAATGTTGCTGTAAACAATTTTAATGAATGAAAGTGGGACTTAATTTAATCCAATGAAATAAAATCTAGGAAGATCGTTTTGTTATGTGTTTTCTGGCATGATACGTTTTCGGATGGTGGTGTTGGCCCCTGCTATAGATCATAAGTAATCGGGTGATGGCGTGTCTATATGATAAAGTTGTCTCTTATATGTTAGTACGATGTCCCGATGTTCGTGTAATTATTTTTTTAAAAAACAAAAAAAATTAAGCATCTTAAAACCCATTACACACGGATATGTACAATGAACAGTTTTTTAATGCGACCCACGCTGAATTTCGCTAGTTTCAAGATCGTTTGCAACTAGCAAAGCAATTGCCATGTACTTATCAGCTGATCTATATTGTGACTACCACTGACTGGTTGTTTTATTCAGGTCAATGACGTTGTTCAATTTCATTGGCCCAGTGAGTTATGACTCAACAATATGGCGAAAGCAAAATAGCGATTTCCATAGCTTGTGCATGATTGTTTATGCAGGTATTTTGGTTTCAATTACGATTTTTTTTCAATAGTTAGTGTTTAATCTAGACAGTATTTCATGAGTACTGTCTAGATTGGCACTCTGTTGTTATTGACCATGTTTTGATGTCATTAAAACGTTTTGAACAAGCTTCATGTTTTATCTTTGTAGTGTGCTTTTTTTATGTGTATTAAGTGACTGACAAGCGTTTCAATTAAGCGCCCCCTTTATTCAATTTATTTTAGCGACCAGGGCTCTTACCACGTCCAATACGGGTATATCAACTACCCCGTTGGATAACTCTCCGGTAAAACCTTATTTTTTCCGGAAAATGTGCTCCTTTAAAAGAAATGATTCAACACGCAAGTTTTGTTTAGATGATTTTTAATGTGCTCCAAAGTTGCACCAATATTTCAAAATATATCAATGTTGGCGAACACATTTCTTACCATTCCAGATAATATTTGTCCGTCATTACGAATCTGAACTTCCTGTAACAACATGTGAGCTTCCTTACCACGTGACCGGATACCAGGACCTCTACAGGTTTGAAATGGTAAATTTCACCTTTTACCTTGGATATGAATCGGCATTCAGACCCGTTAACTATACACAAAGTTTGCGCTTGCGTACGGGAGACTACAGCAAATACTTTCACTCCATTACAAGGTATTTTTCTTAACTTTTCGCAACTGATCCAAAGGAATACAAGCTGGACATAATTTAGCTATCAATATTTCTCTCGTGGTCACCGCTCGTTTTCTTACAGTTAAGGCAACATTTTTTATTTCTGTTTCTCATCGTCCGACCGACTGTAAACTGGCAGCCAACCCGATAATAAAAAACAATTTGTCATAGTGCCGTCGCCTCGAACTCCGGACCTACCGACTGTTCATTCAGCTGCCTTCTTCCTGTCTCAGTGCTGAAGATTGTAGGTAGAGTAGGTAGAGGACAAGTGTAAATTCACAAGAGGGCTAAGCGCTAGGTATTAAATCCTTCTTTCTCAAATTTCATTATTAATACACAGTTTTGTATTAAAGGTATTAAAAAGTAACACAACTTTGTGACAGAAACATCTGATTCAATCTGTTTTGATGTACTCTGGTGTTATTGCTTGCAGTGCAAGCTGTATTATTGATTCAAAATCAGCAAATTTGACAACAAATGATCTTGGTGTATCTATTACCGATTTCTTGAATACCAAAGAAAGCAGAATCTTTTGTACTTTTCCGTCAGATTTAGCCATTCATAAACATTCAAAGTAAAACGGAATACTGACTGAGATTAGTTTTACGCCGCTTTTAGCAATATTCCAGCAGTATCACGGCAGGGGACACCAGAAATGGGCTTAACACATTGTGCCCATGTGGGGAATCGAACCCTGCTCTTCGGCGTGACGAGCCAACGCTTTAACCACTAGTCTACCCCACCGCCCCGTAAAACGGCATTAAAGTTACAGATGTGTTTGGCTTCTTTTCTGATGTAGATATGAATAAATCTAGATATTTTATTAATTTGTTTTATAGTAAACCGACCCAGCCGTGGATACGTGAAACACATAAACAACTGCTGCCCTTATATAACTGTGGTGTACATATTTCTTGGGCGTGACACAGTTTGATATAGGATATATATAACCGTGGCTTATAACGAGGCCACATATTACACATAACTTTGTTAAATGTCACAAACAACACAGTTAACGTAATCTCTGGTAGGTGGCTATATGGAGAATAAACTCTATTATCTACTATCTATATTTATAGTATATCAGTTATGTTGCGGTGAAATAACCGATACGCTAGAAAACTTTGACCTCTCATTCAAGACGTTGGTGCATAATCGGATCCACTACTTGGATACCCAAGCGTCGGGACATACAGACCTCGGGTAACACAAATACTAGGACACACAAGAAGTGGGACACAACGAGTTCCAGGACACACGGGCACTGGGAAACACAAGTACTAGGACACACATGTATAGTACGCACAAACACTAGAACACACGAGCATCCGTACACACAAACACTAGAACACACGAGCATCCGTACACACAAGCACTAGAACACACGAGCATCGGTACACACAAGCACTAGAACAAACAAGCATCGGTACAGACGAGCACTAGAACACACGAGCATCCGTACACACAAGCACTAGAACACACGAGCATCGGTACACACAAACACTAGAACACACGAGCATCCGTACACACAAACACTAGAACACACGAGCATCCGTACACACAAGCACTAGAACACACGAGCATCCGTACACACAAGCACTAGAACACACGAGCATCGGTACACACAAGCACTAGAACAAACAAGCATCGGTACACACAAGCACTAGAACACACGAGCATCCGTACACACAAACACTAGAACACACGAGCATCCGAACACACACAAAACACTAGAACACACGAGCATCCGTACACACAAGCACTAGAACACACGAGCATCGGTACACACAAGCACTAGAACACACGAGCATCGGTACACACAAGCACTAGAACAAACAAGCATCGGTACAGACGAGCACTAGAACACACGAGCATCCGTACACACAAACACTAGAACACACGATCATCCGTACACACAAGCATTAGAACACACGGGTATTGGTACACATAAGCACTAGACCACACGGGCACTGATACACACAAGCATTAAGACATATGGACATCGGTACACACAAGAACTAGGACACACTGGCATTGGTACACACAAGCACTTGGAACATACAAAGGTATGTTTTAATTCGAGTGTACTAGAAACAATATTGAAGGTTAACTGTACGTGAGATCGAACCAAAACAAATCACCGCTTTTCGCATTGGTCAAAAGTAGGTGATCTCCTTGTCGACCACTCAGTCGGGTTTCGATTCGTCTGTAACCACAGGTTAAGTCGCAAAAGTCAACATGACCCACTCCCTCAAAGGTCAGAGAAGTTTGGGTTCCCTTCAAAAACGAAAAATAAACATGTCTTAGGATCTCTAAAAAGCAAACACATATAGTATTCACGTATTTATTATACACTTTGGTACAAAAATATATACACACTATTTACAACTGTCACAAGGACACTATCAGAAGATATCGATGAGATGTACAACATATTTTACAGGCGCTTCCCATACTCCAGTTCCGCTCATCTCTGTAGTGTCATCGTGTATTATATACAGCTAAATGTACAACATCTAAAGGTTCCTTCTCAATCTACACATTACACGACAACGTGTTCCTACAAGTCGAAGATCGGATATTGAACATTGCGCGCTTTCAGATCTTCCGAATATGGACGTTTGCTATTTCGAAGTTCTGATAAGTCGAACAAGCGGCTGACTGTGCTTTTCAACTGATCGTATCTCTGCTAGTGTGGGGGTGGTTAATCTGATCGTCGCTTTGCCCTCTGCGGCTCGTTTCCGGATCTCCAGTACCTTCAGACCTACAACACACCAGAAGAATAACATGAACGTGAGAACCAACCGTTTGATACTGTAAGGAAAGGGTGGAGTATGTTTCAGGGTAATAGATTAAGAGTATTTGACCTGAGTTTGTCTCAAGGACAGTTATTGTGAATTAACACTACAACTGTCGGATTCCGTCTTGGTCAAGGGACGCACCTCTGAACAGCAATCATCCATATTTCCCGAAAGATCTTTACGCTCAAAAATGCATCTTCGAAAGTTATGTAAATAATCCATTTTAAACAAAATTAAGATTTGAAATGTACAAGGGATTTATTTGTTTCGAGACATCCTGTTGTAGGTCCCCGCGCAGGAATATATCACTGGTTGGGATAATTTATGGAGTAATATATGGGAGGTCAGAACTTCCGTGTTTCCGGTACACCGGAAGTTGGAGTTGGTTGAAGGTTATATCCATGAAAGTCTGTCTGCCATAAATGATTTGCATGCACGGGGTTGATTACATAAACACTGAGTCGACAGAGAATAACCAGCTTCGATCACATCTCAAAACATATTTCATTAGTTTTATAGGGAATATAGAGATGAAACAGTTGATCACTGAAAATCAGTAGAGGTGTCAGCACGTGCTGCCAGCCACAAGTGCCATTTACAAAGTAAGTGAGTGTTTCCTAACAGCAGAAGGGCTTCCTCGCGACACACCGGCCTTGACACAATCTGGACCCGACAATACATGATTAGCATCATGAGCACAGACCCACGTATTCTTGTGAGATGCCATTACTTTTTACCCCCTCGAACACTGTTCACTCAGCACACACTACGGCCACCCAACCCTTGATATCCTTTACAACATACACGGTGTTTTATGGACTATCCTGCATATACGTCTCCAGAAGGTTTATTGGCTTTAACCAGGCACGTACCCGCCACGGCCGACTGGAAACCTGCGTTGTAGTCCGTGGTGACTTCGTTGTGGATGTAGTCGGCTCTGTCGTCAACGAAGTTGTCGTAGATATCCGGCCCTCCCACCAGAGCTCCATACAGCGTGTGGGTGTTGGGTTCTGATTTAGAGAAGTCCGACCAGGTGCAAGGCCAGGGACTAGGGTCGCATGAGCTGTCAAGAGTAAATCGTAAAATGTTCCGGTAACAGTTGTTCTGAACTGGTGCTTCCAAACACATGGTCTGTGTTGAAGCGTGGTACAGACCACGGCCCCATACTCAAACATATTATAAGACATGCAGCTAATGACAAAGACGTTTCCAGGGTACATTGTAGTCCAAATGTGATATCATAAGTTGTAGATCAGAGCAGAATTAATCCAAATATCCCCTATGAAAGTGTTTAAAATGTGACAGAACAGAATTGAAAGGTCATGACTTGTAATACTAATGCGTGTTTGACCCGGGCGACAGTATTCCATGCTTTAGCAACGCTTTCGGAAGGCTTAATGGAAGACATAAAGCCTTTAGACGCGCTTGACGCATCGGTGACAAAATGATTCCTGTGTTTCTTCAGCCGAAGGATTGAATACACTGTGAATGTGTTTGCTTCGGGGTTTTACTGCATGGCAGTGATTCATAAATGGATGCACATTATACACATGTAACCGGAATTTATATTATGTCATATAAAATAATATTTATATTATGGACAGTATTTGTCCTGATGAGTGAGAGTTTGGCCTTCTTCAGTAGGACCTTCAAGCAGTAGACTACTTGACCTGCCTGGAAGCATGATGTGGTCGTGTCGGGGGATTGAAGCCGAAGCCGATGACGTAGCTCCTGCCCCCTCCCCAGCATGTAGTGAATCTGGTCCTTAGCCCAATTCCGGTACAGGTCTGGCTTGATGCCTAGGTTGGCTGCTGCCAGGGCAACGGTAGCCATGTTGGCTGCAATGGAATAACAATGTTATTCTATATTGAAGCTTCTTCACAGTACTGTAATGGCTGATAGGACTATTGAGGGAGTGAGTATAGCAGTACGCCACTTTTTTCACTTTTCCAGCAATATCGTAAGTATTAATTGCTGTTATTAATTGATGACAAGTCAAATTTTGTACTTAGGTGGTTGATGATATTTCCAACCATAAGATCATAGAAAAGAAATGTGTGTTTCAGTAACAAACTCAAAGCAAAATACCTCGTAGTCCTCCAAATATAATTATTGTGGGGCTTTCCACTTCGTCAAAAACCACAATGTTTTTCAGTTTGCTTTCACCGAGCCTCCGAATGTATTAATGCAATTTGAGCATCCTAACTACATTATGAGTGTAAAAGTGACTCATGTGCCCAAAAAAGTGTCTTCATTGTGAATTACGAGTCACAAACACATCTTCGTGTTGCCAAAACGCCTGTCAGTTTATTATAAAACTGGTAAACTAAACAAACCGCTTCAATCGGAGACTCTGCTACCACACCTACCGGAGTATCTGAGGGATCCCCATCTCTGCCTGAACGCCAGTCCTTTGGGGGTATAGTCGACGGCCCCCCCAGGGAGCCAGTCCCTCATGAAGTCCTCGATCTCCAGTCGGTACCGTCGCTGCTTCGTCAGCTTGTAGAGCAACACCTGAAAACAATATTACACCGCGGTGTGGCGGCTTCAAACGACAGGAGTTGGACAGAGGTTAATCGTTTAACACTTTCACGAAAATTCCGAGGGCAGGTACAGTCTGTTTGCAGTGAAAACGTACCGATGAATTTCACTTTAAAAGAAAAGGTAAATCGAATAAAGTGTAATTTAGACTGCAAATCCTCATAATTCTGCCTCGCCAATTGAACATTTTTATATCAGAATTTGATTCAGCTTAGGATAAAAGTTCTTTAGTAAACGATCATAGTTTTACATCGCTATTATTGATTTGTATTACAAGGGGGGTATGCACATCAAATGAAACACCGAGAACAAGTAGAGTTGGTCTAAGTTAACGCTCATCACGTACCGCACGTGCAATTTGTTTCGTTGTTCCAACTACTGCGCTTACCCCCTTGTAATACAAACCAATAATAACGATCTGAAACTATGATCGTTTGTTAAACAAATTTTACCCTAAGTTGAATAAAATTCTGAGATTTAAATGTTCAATTGGCATGGTAAAATTATGAGGATTCACAATCTTAATTTCACTTTATTTGACTTACTTTTTTGTTTAAAGTGAAATTCATCGGTACGTTTTCACTGCAAACAGACTATAGGGTGTGCTTTCATATGGCACTCATTTCACATGGTTCATATGACTAAAAACATGTATGCCTGTCCCTCATCAGCCAGCCTTAAATGGGTACCCGGTATGATAACGATCATCAGATTGCAAGCCCATCTGCGCCTGGCTGCTCTCCATAGGGAGATGTGAACGTCACTTTGAAAGCGTAACCAGAATTGGTTAAATGCAAATATTTTCATTATTCATTTATTTTTTAATGATTTTCTTGTTTACCCGGACATCAGTAAAAGTATTCATTTTCCTTTACACAGTTTTGTTGTGTGTTTAAGAACAGTGACGTGTTGTCCGCGTGTGACTGCGCCATCTTACCGTGGCCCCTGCCGTCTTTTCATCCCATGACTGGGCCCAGCTTCCCCGATCGTAGTTCCGCTCGGCCGCCACGAGGTACTTCCTCAAGCCGGTGGCGCGGTATAGCCATGCTGCCGCCCACGTCAACTCGTCACGGTAGCCGGACGACCTGGATAAAAGAAGGACATCATGAACGTTCGGAAGTGTTCCACGAATGTGTTCTAACTCTTTCCAAGCAGCATCGTTAACCGTCTTCAATCGTTGAAAAGCATGGTTTTGCAGGAAGAAAGAGAAACAGTTACGGAAATTGGAGGTCGCTGACAGATGAATAGCTTGAGGAAAACTAGTTATTAAAAATAAATAAGGTTCACATTTTCTTGTCATTTTAATACTTATTATTTCCGATAAATAATTCATTTTGATATTAATGTCACACATAAAAAGACCCATATTGAAGGAAAATGCAATGATTGTATCAAACGTAATTGACGCTCACCTTTTCACAAGCACCTACGAGTCTTGGGTCATGAACACAGGTTAATGATTCAATCGGAACTTTACTGTGGACCTTGTGTTATTTGCGTATGTTTATTTACTAATGAGTGATGTGGTCTGGATGAATGAGGGTGTATTGGGGGCGAGATTTTAAGGAAAGGAGGCTTTCATGTTTTCATGGTTTGTATATTGGTGGGAAGTGGGTCAAGGTAGCCTGACAGCCGCACCTTCTTCAGTTGCTAAGTCGCTGTCAATGTGCTTCATCCTCTGACCGCAATGCCTCCCTAGCATTAGGTGGGGAGTATATCCTACGCTACAGGTACATTGTGTGGGGATGTGAAGCTAGATAGGATCATACATGTCATTCACTACTGATTTCCTTGTTTCCTATGACGTATGACTTAATCCCTTGCAGTATGAACTGCACCCCACGTTTCCGTGTGAATAAATGGTGATATTCCATGTCCAGAGACCATGAATCTCATTATGAAGAGTTCACCCACAGTTTAGGTTCCTGTCAAGTAAATCTCTTTCACAGCGTTCGGTACATTCGTGGGGGTGTGCCTCGGATTACTAGGAAGTACATTACCGTAAAGCCACATAAACAACACGGCAGACTGTGACAATTTCAGGTCCAGGCATATATATTTGCCTAAAAAGCGTAACTGTGTTTGTTACTTTATTGAAACTAATAACATCATGTTGGTCAATTGTCTGATTGTTTCATCATAACAATGACAGAGCCTATACCTGGTAAAGGGAGGCAGAAGGGCACACCGTAAAAGACGGGATGTTTAACTACTCAATTAGCAATGTTCCACATGGGTACTATGTTCGAAGCCCATTTCTGGTGTCCTCCGCCGTGATATTGCTGGAATATTGCAACAAGCGGCGTAAAACCATACTCACTCACACAATTAGCAATGTCAATATCGGGTGTGCTCACAAATTGCGCTGATACAGACGAGGCCGGAGGATGCACTGAAGACAGGTGAACGGCCTGGGGATGTTGTTCTAACAACAAGGAATATATGAGTTCAATAAGAATCATATCGGCCTAGTGGGATAGTGTATAAATACCAAGTTACATTACACACACTCTTGATTGTATCTTAAAAGACAAAGCCATAGCAACAATCTCATTAAAATTATATTTCAGTTCTCGCTGAATTACGAGGTGGCCAGACCGAAAAACTAATATTCATGACATTGCGGTCACAATAACATATCGGTATCAAATTATACTTGTAAGACAACAGCTCAGATATGTTGGTTTTGCAAGATGTAACGAAAGTTATTTACGATTACACGTTCTCAGTACAGATTGTAGTATTGTTTGGGGTTGAGTCTCATCTGGGGTTGGAACCTGCACTCACAGTGGTTGGGCTTCGTACTTAGATCTCATCTAGATTCCGATTCAGACCGAAACATTCCCAGAAATAACGTCTACTGTCAGATAGCCAACGTTCCCTTTATGTCGTGCATTACTCAAGAAGCTCCAGGCGCGAGATTTCGTGGCTTTCGGGGTATAATCGACCATGCTCTTCTAATATGTCCAACCCGTGAAGGTCCGGGTTAGAATGAACCTTCAGTAACCCATGCTTGTCGTAAGAGGCGACTAACGGGATCGGGTGGTCAGGCTCGCTGGCTTGGTTGACACATGTCATCGTATCCCAATTGCGCAGATCGATGCTCATGCTGTTGATCACTGGGTTGTCTGGTCCAGACTCGATTATTTACAGACCGCCGCCACATAGCTGGAATATTGCTGAGTGCGGCGTAAAACTAAACTCACTCACTCACTCTAATATATCCAAGATCATCACAAAACTTGTCTTGCCTTTGCGTGTGTTTGTGTCAGGTGTCAGCGATGGGGAAGGGTACGAGCACCTGGTTTCATCACTAAATGATTTTTATCCATAAACACATTCCAAAAATATACCAGTTGTTTAAATCGGACAATGGGCTTTGCTTCTACCGGGATTTCATATAAATATGGAAAGGGTAATGGCATTTCAGAAGAGGTGAAACACTTATCAATACTCGCAGGCATCCCGTCTACTATGTCCCCATTCTATCATGATGAGTACCCACGGACCGCTGCTTAGCATTGAGAACGTAGGTGCGATGGAGGTGATGGCGCCACTGCCGTCATCTTTAAAACAAAACTATGGGTAGCATGTCTAGAGGATCTGTTATAAATAGGATGGAGTGAGTGGGTTAGTGAGTGAGTATAGTTTTACGCCGCATTTAGCAATATTCCAGCAATATCACGGGGGTGGGGGTGACACCAGAAATGGGCTTCACACATTGTACCCATGTGGCCAGCGCTGTAACCACAAAGCTACCCCACTGCCCCGTTATAGGGTGGACATACAATACTATGTGCGATTGAGGACAATCTATATCATCCCATTGCGATCACCTTCATAAATAGTCCCATACTTTCCGATACATAATGACGACTAAAGGCTACAACTCACGAGTAGAATTCCTCCACGATAGGGATGCTGTCACTGTACTTTCCTCGATATCGCTCAGCAAAGTCGAAAAGTTCCTCCGCGTGACGAAGTAGTTCCGCCGCATAGACAGGGTCTAGGATGAATGTCGAATCATACAGGGCACAAGGTATATAATCAAGTATGTGTTGGAAGCTAAGCTGTCTGTACAGAGGCATCATAGAAGCTACTGACAAGGACGTAAAAGTATTAGAATTATAACTACCTTCCGGTTTCTTTGATGAAGAGTATTTAGCACAAAAACTACACTTATATCTCGTAACTCTGAAGCCGCTTATGGATAGAACTAGTAGTCATTTGCCCAATTGTCCCTGGAATTTGTCATAGCGTTCAAAGGAAGATGATGAAGGAATGAAGATTGAGTTCGACTCAAAGAGGTTTCACCGCGGATCTGACAGGAGGTTTCTTTTGGCCCAAAATAGTACACCCGATGCCTATTTAAATTGTAATTGATGCTAATGATCCTATAACCAAAATATTCTGAACGATTGAAACATTAAAACTAACAATAGCCGTTGATGGCATCTTACATGAAACTTACACTTCTATTCTGTTAAAGAGTATGTTCAGTGTGTGAATGTTTGATGTTCTTCTTGAAATGTCTCGTTAAGGTTAAGGCTTCTGAACATATTCAATGGTACATCAGTAAAATCTACATGACACCCAACCGAGGTCCCTATGGCCACACCTTGTACCATTACTGAAACCGTATTACTAAGAATCCAATGGAATTGAAAATAGAGCTAAGCGAAACAAATGGATCTAAATATATTAACAATAACTGCAGCACATGAGGTACCTCTTGGTTTAAACGCAACAAATCCAGCAGCCAACGCAGCCGCCGTTTCTCCAATGACGTCACTTCCGGGCCGTTCCGGGGTCAAGCGATACGACGGTCTGTACATGTCCATGTCTTCCGGTCTTCCCCAGAAGCTGTGGTCTACATACGGGTCACCTACCTTGAATATATCGCAGCATACGTCAGATATAAGTAAAACATATTGTTACATTATTCAAACTGGGCATTCGTACCGTCCATTACTGAGTTTGGTGGCAGACATTACAGCATCATCACCGTCCATGAGCTTCACACGGATACCCATGTGGGGAGCCATCGGCGTGACGATAATGCTTTTCCATTTGTACCCCACCGCATCCGTTGAGGGATAATGCCATGTGATAATGCTTTCCCTTTTGTGCATCCCTGTCTGGACTTGTGTTGGTTTTATATCGCAAGCCTACTTAGAGAACATGGTGCGTGGATATCATGAATACACTACTCGGACACAGTATACTGACTCAAAGCCGACAAGCCCGTTTAACACTTTCAAAGTTCTAACGTCTTCTGGTATGGGACGTTTGGGGGATCGAACACCAGACCTTCTGCACTACTGGCAGACACTCCATCCACTAGACTAAGGTGGGTGTCGCATAAACAACGTTCAGTTGCAGCAAGGTTATGACCTCGCCATGTTAATAGGCTATACTTGATGATTAACCTCCTGGCTGATTTATTTTTCAGGGACATTTTGTTTGATGTAATGTATTAGGCCAAAGCAAAGTGGGTTTAACCTTGAAACAGAACACAGAAACACTTCCTGGTGTATTATCCAACACACAGAGACGCCGATACGTTCCAGAACGTGAACTTGACATTGCCAGATGTCAATACACATGAACTCCATGAACATATTCGTGAAAGCTGGACAATATTTCAGAGAAAATCACGATCAGGACGTGTTCAGTTAGGCGTGGACCTCCATCACATGTAACGGAAACAAGTTTAGATTGAGGTTGTAACAAAGTTAACAAAAATATATTACATCTTACCCAGGAAGCAAAGCACAAAATCAGGTACCATATTCACCTGTACATACCTGTGTCAAATATGCACTGAATGTCATACTTACATATGATCATGTATACTACTGAAAACAAGTTCAGGAACGCCCGACTATGTTTACACTATCATAGCCGATAGTTATTATATCACTTCAAACTGTAGGTGTTCCTAAACATTGTTGTTGTTTAACGCCGCACTCAGCATTATTCCAGCTATATGGAGGCGGTCTGTAAATAATCGAGTCTGGACCATACAATCCAGTGATCCACATCATGGGCATCGATACGCATGTGTCAATAAAATCAATCAGGTCAGCGAGCCTGACCACATGATCCCGTTAGTCGTCTCTTACGACAAGCATGGGTGGCTGATGACCAATTCCAACCCAGATTTCCACGGGTCTCAACTTGGTAGGAGTAACATATAGTCGAAACGAAGAATTTATGCTTCATTCGAAACCCTACGCAATCCATATCTCGTTGGAAACATCAAACTAGTAGTGTTGTTTCTCATGACACATTCGCAGAAAATATAGGTAGACACCGTGAAATACACATCTCTATTTCCCAAGATCTCCCTCTAATTGTACCATATGAACACAATGAGACAGTAGTTAGGTAGCCATGGCCGTGTGATGCCATATCGTAATTACGGAACTGCAGTTCTGCAGTTCAGGCAATGCAGTTCTTTTTATCAAAACCAAATCTAGTATGCACAAAACACGTGTGAGCAAAAATGAAAGAATGTTGTTTAAAGCCTCAGTGAACAATATCCCACCTATACTGCGGTGGTCTGTTAACAGTCGAGTCACCCGACAACTGAAACCTAGTATGTTTACGACAAACTCGTTGGTGAGCAAATCCTCTTTAGTTGAAAGATCCTGTTGTTTACAATCGATCCTCCTCAGTGAACGATCCTCTTTATCCCACCTATACTGCTTTGGTGGTCTGTTAACAGTTTTCGATCGTCTTTTATCGGATTTACCATCGGAACGTCTGTTTGTTTGCCTTTACGACGTTCCATCCTCGATTTAGTTAATTTGGGCTACATTCGATTCACTTTATTTGACTTTTACGACATACGATCCGTTCAGATGGCTTTGATGACACTCGATTTTCTTTTGTGGATTTATGCGACAAGTAAATTCTACTGCGACCTATTCTTCCCCGGAAACCCTATCGGTGATGATAACTATAAAACATGCAAATGGATAATACACAGCTGATCCTAAGAGAGCACAAAATTGTCAATGCCCACTCTCAGTGCCTGTTAGCCGCTGGAATGTCTGGATCAACATTTCAATATTCTACTGTTTATCTATCCGCTACTTGAACAGAACTATTAACCGTCAACGTGAATAATCAGTCTCAATTATGCTCCAAAACAGATATATTTGGGCCTAAAGGGGCAAATATGTGCTGGAAATTATCACAGAAACGATCCGTGAAGGTCCGGGTTAGAATATTGATCTTCAGTAACCCATGCTTGTCGTAAGAGGCGACTAACGGGATCGAGTGGTCAGGCTCGCTGACTTGGTTGACACATGTCATCGGTTCCCAATTGCGTAGATCGATGCTCATGCTTTTGATCACTGGATTGTCTGGTCCAGACTCGATTATTTACAGACCGCCGCCATATAGCTGGAATATTGCTGAGTGCGGCGTACAACTAAACTCACTCACTCACTATCACAGAAACTCGTCCTACCTGGGCATAGAACTCATACTTGGTGGGGTGAGCTTTCTGGAAGTAATCAAGTGGCCACTTGACACAGTCGTACATGTCCTCCAGGAGACCCGTTCCCTCGTACGCCTCCTTGAACTCCAGGAACCCCCACAGCAACATCGTCGTCGCCCCCGCCATCGGGTGCCCAAACTTAACGTAGTCGCCAGCTGCAATATCAGGAAGTCGGGTGAGGTGCGCACTCAGACAAGTCGCAGAGCCTAGCCACCCAATCTACAGTTAAGTCGACTTTTTCGGCAGCCATGATATACCGAGGCAGCTCCCACTGAAGGGCTGGTTATGGCTGCTACACCGATAACTGTGATACAGTTGAAATATCACTCACTCACTTACTCAATCACACACTCACACACTCACTCACACACTCGCCCACTCACTCACTCACCGTCACACCAATTGAAATATCACTCTCACCCAATCACTCAATCACACACTCACTCACTCACTCACTCACTCACTCACTCACCGTCATACCAGCCTCCGCTGAGGTCCTCTCCAAACATCCCCCTGTCATCCGTGGCCGAGTTGCCCCTCCACGTGATTCGGTTGTTGTCAGGGAGGTACCCTGACCTCTGAGCCTCGTAGAAGAGAATAGATTTATACATAGCCTCTCCATAGTTGTAGCCTGGAACAGACGTGGAGACACTCACTGTTACAGATTGTATATGTGAAATACTATAACTATATCCATTAGACAAGGTTCACCAACACATTGACGGCTTGTGATACGACAAAAACCTACGCTACATCAGTGCTCACGTAGTATCACGAAACAAAGCCCATATTATTTTTTTTAAACTTGCGTTTTGTTAACCCATATTGTGAATCGGAATTTAAGAATATATTTGGAGCATTTATTGCACTCGACTTGAGTTAACATAAAGAGTAATGAACATAATGTTTAAACTGTATGACAAAAAGGTTGCATCGGAAATCCGTTGCATTGCGAAATCTTGCCCAGTAATTTGTTCTAAACAAGATTAAGAATGTAAATGTTTGAGAACGTTTTAAATCAACCATTTATTAACAAAATGTGTTCAACACGAGGGGAAAGAAAACGTTTTTTGTTTATCTACCGGCGTACAACGTGAATATGTTTGTGCTCAACGTGTCCCGAGTAACACGATTTCCTGCAGAAATGTTTTTGTAAAAAACATGTGCAAACGTTTTATACAATCACACGGGGATTGTTATCATCAGCAAAAATACCTTTGGGTGTTGTTTTTTTGTTTTTGGGGTTTTTTTACGTAAATATTCTCCTCAATGATCACCATACCGCGATATACATTTAGTGACATATACTTATCATATCTCTTTTTGCAAAGTTTTTGTGAGGATGGAACACATATCCTTGAATGCATTATATAGACTGAGAATCCCCCACCCAACCCCAACCCAACCCCACCCCACCTGTACTGATCTGCCGGTGTTCGTATCATAATCCTGATATAATTATTAATATCGGCAGACTCGATGATGATATATATATATATATATTGCCCATATGGTGATGACGTAATTGTAGCGTAGGGTTGGTTGCTTGCTTTGTTGTTTAACGGCGCACTCAGCAATATTCCAGTTATATGGCGGTGGTCTGTAAATGATCACTGCAAACTATGCAGTGATCTTAACTCCCACGTGTTTGATAGATGTTTGTCAGACAGCCGACCATACCCCCTGTGGAAACACTCGAGAGGATCCTTTCCATGATTTCCTTCAGTGTCCTCTACGGATTTAGATTTAATAAATACATCTTTCAAAATAATATAAGTTTACATGTGATTATTCACCACTTAACTCTAAAACTGCCAAATTTATCAAATCTTTACTTTGTTCAATATTTTAATATGCATCAATATGCTGTATGTTCACTGTGTCACTATATGTGACTTTTGAGAATAAAATTTCTGTTCTGTCCTGTTCAGTAAGAGGATTAGTAATATGTTTTGAGAAGGGCACAGGAGGTAGGAGTGTGTTGTATACCCTGTGGTGACTTTGGGTCAGCTCATTTATTAAATAGGGGTGGACAGCATGGCTCAGCTAATTAGTGTACTCATTGAGTCTGTCTTATGGATGGTCTGTCTTTTGGGAGGTCTGTCTTTTGGGAGTGGACCCGATTTACAAATTGTGTCAACACACCACGTAGATCATAACCCATTAGTGCGGGGTCCGAACCCGGAACGTATGCAGCAGGACGAGCGGACACCCTCACACGGGTATATATCACTTCCTGAAAACAAAGAGTTGTTATGTCCGCCTAGTCTCAGTCCATTTAATTTAGACGTTCATGTACTAATGTTTCATAAAATATACATGTTGTGGTAAAACTGCGGCTGATTATACGTAATGCTGATTAATGTTATTTAATTTTCTTTTGTTAATTTTGTGTGTATGCGTGCGTGTGTGCATGTGCGCGTGCGTGTGTGGGGGGGAATTTGGGGGCTTATATGTTTTGATTTCTTATGGTTTTTGTTGGAGGGGGTGGGGGGCATTCTACTGGCATTCATCTTACTTTGTTATTCCATATTTCCAAGATACTTTGGGATATTGAAAGATCTTGTTTGTTCAGACTTGCTATCTGTTAAGACGTCCTTGGATTGACATTCTAAACGTAATCCCACTGTCATCGCAGTGATGTGACGAAGGACGCCACACCAATACTGTGACGTCATCAGTACGGTCACGAGTCTTAATATCTATCAGAACACGAGACAACAAGAAGAACATTTATTGAAATCTGTTTCGTGAGATAATCGGGACAGGGTATTCCATGGCGTGACGTTTTATATTTACTTCAACAGAGTCGATGTTGATGACGACGGTGGACTGACGTTCACGGGTCCATCGCAAGCTATTTATCAATCATTCTGAGTCAGCTACAACAGATTTGTTACTGGGGAAACATAAAAAATGTCCCCAACTGTGTTGCAAAACAAACATATTTCTTAATGTTTTTCTTTCTTTATCGACTGCAGAATTTCTGCGCTTGAACACGGCAAAAGTATTTAAAATTATCCTTTCCCTTTTAGTTTTAACAACATCCAACAATTGTCGCCATCGTTTTACAAACAGACCCATCCGTGTAGTATAAGATACTTAGCTAAGGGAAAAACGACTAACTCTTATACATATCCTACCCATCAAAAGCACTAACTATATGTTATGTATATATATGTGGTTACATCGAAGATGAATTTCTCCACTAACTTGGGAAACCATCTGCAAACCTTATGCAGATGAACTGCACGGGGATCATGCATCAACTTGCTGAAAAGCATGTGCAAATATCGTGCATGTCAACAGATGCATTTTGCTGTAAAGTTTCGTAAGAATTCGCCAATTTTCACTGTGTTTCATCATTTATTGAACTCATGACAATTATCTTTTCAACGTTACGAATTTGTTTTACAATACATCAGTTCATCTGCTGTCATGTCTTTCACACCAGGCTATAACGAGGTCAGTTTTTACCACGTAAACCTTTGGTAATCTGGAATATCGAAATGATTTAACGGTGCCTAGATCTAAATGATAATTAACAAAAAACAGTAAAATAGTCCGAATTCCAAGTTTCCCTTACCTCCTTCAGGGTCAGGCCAAGGCGGGGTAGGTCCTGGCGGGGTGACCGGCGTCTCCTCGTCCTCTGGGGGTACAACTGGGATCCAGGGCCAGAAGTTGTGTTTTGGGAGTCCATAGTACGTTTTGTTGTCCTTCACTGGAGGGATGATTGGTATATACGGCCAGAAGTTATGTCGAGGTAGCCCGAAAGTTGTCGGAATACGGCCGTTCAGGAACGGACGGACAAGAAATACAGCATGAACGACGGTGACGACGACGCACACGGTGAGAAGAAAGAACGAGGTATGCATCATGACTGAAGCTAGTGAGACAGGTGCGAAGTGATGATCATCCCTACCTAAACAGGCCCTCTCATATCTGCAGCCGCCGGTGAGAACCTGTTCTCAAATCCATGTATACAGTCCGTGAGAGAAAATCTTTACCAGGCTTGTGTAAAACTGTCAGTCCAGCACACACACAGCTCGTGTGTGAAGATCAATGGCACAACTTGACTGTGTCTCGCATATACCAGTTGGTTTCAGCATATACACAAAACTAAACGTATACATGTTCCACCACTGTAGACATCCTCTCGCCCCCAATGCCTCTATTCAACTGAACGAAAAGCCCTTAACAGAAAAAATACACCTTTTATATTTTTTCAGTTTTTCCGTTCTTATTTTCCCGATAGTCCACGGCTGTCAAACTCCAACTGTTTTCCGGCGATCGAACCCTAGGGTAATTAAGTTCGCATATTTCCTATGTACTTTGCTAACATGAGGAAAGTCAAGACACCAGTGAGCGATCAACCCAGGGGCGATCTACGCCTTTCCCCATACAGCCATACACGCTGACTCGAGCAATCATTTACCAAGAGGAAAAGCTTACAGGAGATCACGCTCCGGGAAGGTTCCGCTAGCGATACAGTTAACGTTGTGGCCACTTCCCTGCTGTGGAGAATGTATCGTTTAGTGCAACACTGGCTGGAAGAAAAACTACTCGCCGACAACAAGTTTCGTCCACTATGTATACCAGCCCGCGTGCCAGCATGCTTTTGTTAAGACTTAGTTTAATGTCGCGGCTGTTCCACCATTTGTACTCGTGAGGTGGCATATTTGCTTAGGATTTATGACAACAAAGAAACTATCTAACATGTTTAACGGACAGTAGTCAGTGTTAAAAGTCACCGATTTCTTGACATAAAGGGACCTTCTTTGAAACTAAGGACCTCCAACATCACAGAAACGCCGGCCGTGTTACTTTAGAGTGGAGATTTACGCAACCAAAATAACGAGGTCTTCTTAAGACATTTCAGAAGTGTTTACGAATAAGCTTTGAACACTTGCTAATTGCAAAACATTTAACTTAGAACGGTAATGTAATTTATATTGTCAACAGTGTGTGAGGGAATCAATAGCGAGTGCAGTCTTGTTGAATGTTCTGCGTGTGGAGGGATCGGGTTTTACACTTCAGTGTGACGCGTCTATTCTGGTCGGGTTGCAACAGTCGTGCAGGTTTAACCTAACAGCTAATCAATTGGACATGGTTTTTTTAATATTCCGAGACATTTCACAATATGAAGATCATGCATGTCCTCCCAGAAGATGTGTACAAATACGAATTATACTTAAAAGTTTTCCATACACACGTACAGGTAATAGGAGCGATAATGAGTGAGTGAGTTTAGTTTTACGCCGCTTTTAGCAATGTTCCATAAATATCACGGCGGGGGACGCGAGGCTTCACACATTGTACCCATGTGGAGAATCGAACCCGGGTCGGGCGTGACGAGCGAACGCTTTAACCACTAGGCTACCCCACCGCCTCTGTAGGAGCGATAAATACGGCATTGTACTATACTGAAAGGAGATCATACAACGTGTTATTAGTTCTTAGTTTTTCAATCCTAATCATGCTGATATGAGATGGGGTGTGTTGTACATATAATGATTGCAGACATGGCATATGTGGGCGTCTGTGGTCTGGGCGTGCGTGCGTGTGTGCGTGCGTGCGCGCGTGCGTGTATACTCCTAGATCAATTGTCTTTGGCCTTATATGGTCATTCCGTATGATAAAGTTTGTCTGATGCCGACGCCAAACAAATGTGGACACTAAAGTCAGGAACTGCTGGACTATTGCAGGACATAAGGGGAAAGTAGACTATCGGAAAGTGGAAGTAAGTCATTCGCATGACATAGTGAGTGAGTGAGTGAGTGAGTTAATATGTAAAGTTACAACGGCAATATTGTAGACAAAGCAGTGTATTTGTTTTCATGAGTATAGATCTACTTTACATGGAAACGATGACATGTATCAACCCGATCTCGTAAGTAGCCTCTTAAGCATATATGCTTTGCTTAGTAGGGCTGCGCAATATAACCGGTTTACCGGTATTTACCGATTCAGACATGAAAACGATACGTATTGCGATACGCTGATCGAAAACCGGTATTTTGACATGCATTCGGAAAACTTCGTAACGCTCGGAAATCTTCGGATATTTCCGTTTTTTTAATTGTTCTTTTCCCTGTTTCATTAGTGCTAAATGTTACTTAAATTTTTATTTTGTCATGATTAAGAGTTTTTATAAAAGGTTAATCAATCATAGTGATTTTGTTGTGTTTTTGCTTTATAATCAAGCATTAACTCGCTTATAAGGAATTTTTTGTTAAAAACATAATCCTTGCAATATATTGCAATACATATCGCAATATATGCTTCCGCATCGCAATATATCGCCAATATGAAAATTCTCTGCAATACCCACCCCTATTGCTTATACCGTCTGAACCGGATCTTCGCAGGTGAATACATAACCATACCATCAGAGGCATCTCTACGGCGGCTTAGAGATCGCAGAGTCTCTACTGGAGACATGTCAGAGACCAGTCTAACACATGTATGCCTTCTCGCCGAAGAAAATCTGTGCTGATGAGATGGTATGGTTATGTTGTATTGGAGTTTCAATTTTCTGCCGATAATTGTAATTCGCTCAGAACCTTGTGTCGCCTAGGTGTGATCATATTGATACCTTATCAAAGTGCATGATAAAAGATCCGGCGATTTTACGTGCGCATCAGTCATACGAAATTCAGAATACATGGGGTATTGTATGGTGAGAATATTTGATTAGGGCCATCGCTTTCTAGCCCAGACTTAAGCTTAGTTTTATTGCCTAAATTCGGAGGCGAGAAAGCGATATCACGAGACGAGAAAGCCCAGCCACCATAGTATTGCATCATCGGATGAGTATTCCGACTATTGTGAGTGTGTGAGGCAAGCGGTAAGTGGTGCAGAAGGTTACAGTGTATGCGTTAGCAGCACAGGTATGGTGCAGACAAACCTGGAACCAATCGGAACAAACCACGACTTGAACCCACTATCATAGATTTCAGACGTGTCCGAGGGTCGTACTTCTGCATTGAGAATTGCAACGGGGCCTTAATTTACGTATGTTTGAGGCTGGCTTAGAATCAGAAAGTTTCAACTCTTGATGAATGTACAAGAGAGCAATATGAACAACGTTAGCCATTGTCGGAACTCACTCGGCGTCGCTGCATCGCTCTCATTTACATATCGTATTTGAGCATCTGTCATCGGGCTATTCAATCTTCAGTAACCCATGTAAGAGGCGACTAACGGAATCGGGAGGTCAGGCTCGCTGACTTGGTTAACGCGTGTCATGCGTAGATCGATGCCCATGCTGTTGATCCTAGACTCGATTATTTACAGACCGCCACCAAACAGCTGGAATAAACATGATCATTAACACAACGTTACAGAGACGAGTTGAACAAGATATACGAGGGTAAACTCACTACAACGATTCATTATAGATATCAATTTGTGTACAAAAATTATGGATGGTCTTGGATTTACAGAAACGGGATAACTTTTTTTATCGTAATCAAGTGATGGTTAAGTAGCCTGTCAGGCGTTGGACATTTCAGAACCTTCAGCCCGACTGATACTTTGCTAGCCACGAACTGTTGTTTTCTTCCTTCTGGAATAGATGGTTGCTGTGGGTTACAACTGGTGACTGTGTCCGACTTCCAGAACCATCCCTGCATAATGAACGACACTGTACAATTGCTGTGGAGCTTCGAAATGTCATAAGGATTCAGTCTCCTGCGCAATAGTGTTCCCACGAAACAGGGAAGAAACCACATTTTCCTAGTTCGTCCAGGCGCGTAGCAAGCCATGTTTTTTCGCGTAGGCCCGATGGGTTGCATAGATTTATATTTAGAAAGTACTGAGGGCTTGCCCAACCTTTTTAGCAACAATCATTTATATAATGGTAGCTACGCCCCTGGTCTGGTGCCTTTGGCTCACTCAGGATGTACGCTTTAACCGAACCAACCAAGATCACCATTGTCTTCTAAGCCAATACCAGAACACAATGGCAGAATGGAGAGCGGCCTACCTGGTTGCCCTGTAAACTGGTGCCAGTGACAATGAAAAACGCGCAAAAGGCCCGGATGTACAGAACCACGACTGCACCGTTTAAAATTTACTCTGGTATAACACATGTCCTCCGCTAAAACTCTGGCGGCTGTGGCTGGACAAAGAAGGAAAGCGTCTTCCTGGTCGGGTCTTCAATGGAAGGGTTTGCAATCGACTCATATGATGCACCTGGTAGACAGTGTTGAGATTCCAGGCAGGTGGTCGAAACAGGTGTCCGTAGATAGATCAGGAAGTTTGCTAAGATCTGGCGAGTTTCCCGCGTTAGATCTTGTTTCTTGGCTGCACAAAACTTGTCGGCATACATGTGTCAGGTGGAAGTCCCAGAGTGATAGTCACTTGGCGCTCAACGCCTTCTGCATATAGCCTATGCGTGCAGATTGAATCTCTCCGGCGTTAGATGAGGTTAACGGCTGTGTGGATGTACGCGGATGTTTTCACAAGCCAGAAGTTGGGCTATCTTCTTGCTACCAGAAACCAGATTCTGGGGTCGACCTAAATCAGTCAAAGGCATGTTGTGGTCTTGATCTTGGCTATGACCTGAGGCAGTAAAAGTGGTGGCAGAGTCAAGTCTTCCTAGCAGAGACTTAGAGCATTCATTCTCCAAGCCGCACCAGATACTGTACCAGAGACCGCATAAACCGGAAGTTGGGCGAACAAACCTATATTTGGAGATCTTAGCCCATGACTCAAAATTTGAACATTTGGGCGATTCTGTTGGACCTTAACAGTGCCTCTGCTAATATGTTCGTGCAGTGACGAGGTGTCAGATGAGGTGGATGTGGAGGTCTGCTAGCATCTGGTCTAGGGGAAACTGAGATGTGGCCGAACGTTGTTTCCTAATGAAATACACTACTATCGTGTAGTATTGTGGCCACAACAATATTGGTTCCTGAAGACATTGTGCCCAGTGACGAATCCCGAGTATCACCGCTTCCAGCTCCAAACTAATTTTATGCCAATTTTGTTGATCTTTTGACCAAAGTTTTGGGTTGTCTGATCCTCTAAATGCCCCGTCCCTGAAGTGAGGTGGTCAGGGACTCGCTCTGTCAACAAGATATTTTATGACCCATTCATAGTGATCCTAGCCGTATGACACCGCAACTCACTGATAAATGAGTGCACTAAGTAAGTAGTGCAGATAAGTTGAAAACATCATCCTTTGAAAAGTGCATTCAAAAAATTAAAATGAACTTCATTAACGGCGCTTACAGCTTACAACTAGGGACAGCTTTCTCAAAATGACTGTCGAGCTGGCCAAACATGTTACTTCTAAAGCTTGAGTAAAATTGACATTATTACTGATGATATAGCCATTTTGCTGTGCCACTGACCCAATCCCTAAAAGCGATCACTGCAGGTTACTGTAAAGTATGGAAGTTCAAGTTCATCATCATGATCCGTAGGCTTTGTAGGAACCAGCCTTGGGTCACAAACTGTTGCATATATATGAATTTTCTGGATACATTTCTCCACATCCACCTCACTAAACTGGTGCATTGGATACCTAAATGCACCAGTTTAGTATTATGTCCACTAAGTTTTCTACAAATACCGAGGAATTATTACCTGTGGGTTATGCTCCAGAAACAAACGGACGCACTGACTGTCAGCTGTCAGGTCGCGTCGTGAATGTAACCACCAAAGTCTCATTAATCAGGTCCAATGAGAGGCAAGGTGAGGTGAGGTGAAATTGGGTTTAACGTCGTGCTTGAGAATATTTCACTCATATGACGACGTGCATGCGTGTGTATGTGTATGTGTGGCTGCTTGTACTAGCCCAGACTGAAGCTGGTTTTATAGTGCTAGCCCACTGAGATACCATGCCGCAGTTAAGCATGAATACCCCACTCAGACACATTATACTGACTCCGAGCCGACCAGTCCTTGTTGTACCCATTAATGCCAAGCTCCAGGCAGGGACCAACAAGTACCATATTTTAACGTCTTTTGGTATGACGCGGTCGGGGATCGAACCCACGACCTTCCGCTCTCCGGGCGGACGCTCTACCCACTACACCACGGAGGCGGTCAATGAGAGGCAAGGTATACTGGGGACCTTGCATAACCCCTAGTGGGATCTGAATCTGTATCCCTAGTGGGATCTGGATCTGTATCCCTAGTGGGATCTGAATCTGTACCCCTAGTTGGGATCTGAATCTGTATCCCTAGTGGGATCTGAATCTGTATCCCTAGTGGGATCTGAATCTGTATCCCTAGTGGGATCTGAATCTGTATCCCTAGTGGGATCTGAATCTGTATCCCTAGTGGGATCTGAATCTGTACCCCTAGTTGGGATCTGGATCTGTATCCCTAGTGGGATCTGGATCTGTATCCCTAGTGGGATCTGAATCTATATCCCTAGTGGGATCTGAATCTGTACCCCTAGTTGGGATCTGAATCTGTATCCCTAGTGGGATCTGAATCTGTATCCCTAGTGGGATCTGAATCTGTACCCCTAGTTGGGATCTGAATCTGTATCCCTAGTGGGATCTGAATCTGTATCCCTAGTGGGGAATCTGTATCCCTAGTGGGATCTGAATCTGTATCCCAAGTGGGATCTGAATCTGTATCCCTAGTGGGATCTGGATCTGTATCCCTAGTGGGATCTGAATCTGTATCCCTAGTGGGATCTGAATCTGTACCCCTAGTTGGGATCTGAATCTGTATCCCTAGTGGGATCTGAATCTGTACCCCTAGTTGGGATCTGAATCTGTATCCCTAGTGGGTTCTGGAATCTGTATCCCTAGTGGGATCTGAATCTCTGTACCCCTAGTTGGGATCTGAATCTGTATCCCTAGTGGGATCTGAATCTGTACCCCAAGTGGGATCTGGATCTGTATCCCTAGTGGGATCTGGATCTGTATCCCTAGTGGGATCTGGATCTGTATCCCTAGTGGGATCTGAATCTGTATCCCAAGTGGGATCTGGATCTGTATCCCTAGTGGGATCTGGATCTGTATCCCCTTGTGGGATCTGAATCTGTACCCCTAGTTGGGATCTGAATCTGTACCCCTAGTTGGGATCTGAATCTGTATCCCTAGTGGGATCTGAATCTGTATCCCAAGTGGGATCTGAATTCTGTACCCCTAGTTGGGATCTGGATCTGTATCCCTAGTGGGATCTGGATCTGTATCCCTAGTGGGATCTGAATCTGTATCCCAAGTGGGATCTGGATCTGTATCCCTAGTGGATCTGGAATCTGTATCCCTAGTGGGATCTGAATCTGTATCCCAAGTGGGATCTGAATCTGTACCCCTAGTTGGGATCTGAATCTGTATCCCTAGTGGGATCTGAATCTGTATCCCTAGTGGGATCTGAATCTGTATCCCAAGTGGGATCTGAATCTGTACCCCTAGTTGGGATCTGAATCTGTATCCCTAGTGGGATCTGGAATCTGTATCCCAAGTGGGATCTGAATCTGTACCCCTAGTTGGGATCTGAATCTGTATCCCTAGTGGGATCTGAATCTATATCCCTAGTGGGATCTGAATCTGTACCCCTAGTTGGGATCTGAATCTGTATCCCTAGTGGGATCTGAATCTGTATCCCTAGTGGGATCTGAATCTGTATCCCAAGTGGGATCTGGATCTGTATCCCCAGTGGGATCTGAATCTGTATCCCTAGTGGGATCTGAATCTGTATCCCTAGTTGGGATCTGAATCTGTATCCCTAGTGGGATCTGAATCTGTATCCCTAGTGGGATCTGAATCTGTATCCCTAGTGGGATCTGAATCTGTACCCCTAGTTGGGATCTGAATCTGTATCCCTAGTGGGTTCTGAATCTGTATCCCTAGTGGGATCTGAATCTGTACCCCTAGTTGGGATCTGAATCTGTATCCCTAGTGGGATCTGAATCTGTATCCCTAGTGGGATCTGGAATCTGTATCCCTAGTGGGATCTTGAATCTGTATCCCTAGTGGGATCTGAATCTGTATCCCTAGTGGGATCTGGAATCTGTATCCCTAGTGGGATCTGAATCTGTATGAATCTGTATCCCTAGTTGGGATCTGAATCTGTATCCCTAGTGGGATCTTGAATCTGCATCCCTAGTGGGATCTGAATCTGTATCCCTAGTGGGATCTGAATCTGTACCCTAGTTGGGATCTGAATCTGTACCCCTAGTGGGATCTGAATCTGTATCCCAAGTGGGATCTGGATGTCCTATTCTAATCTAGAATCCTACAAGGATCAGAGGAATCATTGTACCCGATATATCAACTTGGAACCAGTATTCTGTTCCAACCTGGTAAATATGCATAATCTCTTGCCCATAATATACACATGGAAATTAATAATTAAAACACCCAATTCATAATTCTGTGAATTAAGAACACAGGGCATTTTTGAATGATTTGTTAACATTTTGCATGTTGCTGGATAGCATGATTATTTGTGGATATATTCAACGACGCGTAACGGTGTGCAATGCACCTTAAATGTTATACCCAACGTTGTTTAAATCATGTTACTGAAAACAGTCTATATTTCAATTTGGATTGAATATTCAGTTCCATTTTCATGGCACTGTCAGAATTTTCACAGGCTACAAGGTGGCAAATTATTGGCATGAGAAATGCAGAAATGTCCATCAAACAAATTGACATCAAGTTGGCTAAGCTCCCCAATATTTTGTGATTTTTTAACAAGCCCAGGGCTGCCAATAATGTTAATGGTCTTCCAAGACCAAGGGTGGAAGGGTGTTGTTTTTAACAGACAGGTCCACACTTAACATTTACCGTGAGGACGGATGTGAACGGTCAACAGATGTCTTGAGAGCTATGCTTAAGACTGTTTTGGGTGGTTCCTTGACGGTTTGGGGTGTGGTAAGTGCATGTCAGAGAGCCGCTTAGTTGTTCTGGGCAATTTGACAGGTGGGACCAGTGGCAATTCTGTTCCTACATCATGACTCAGGATTGACATTCAACAGGTAAAAAGTTCAAGGGGCCGAAGTTGCTATGAATTTTCTTCAACAGTACGATGTTCAAGTGCTGCCTTGACGTGCTAATTATCTTGATCTCTCCGGTACATTGCATTGTGGGCAGAAAAGGATCAACGTCCGCACCATGATCAAACCCAACAGTTAACATCTGTGATCGAATATGGCAAGCCATCCAAGCTCGTTTGATGGGACTATGAAGCAATAATACACTGCGGTTCTTGCTGCTCAAGGTGGGCCTACCCATCATTGAGATTGTGACAATGTTGCTTGACCTGTGCCACATTTGGACTCGCCAATGTATGGTCAAGGTCATGGACTTTCAACATATCGTTCCAGCTTCTTATAAACTCAATATCCGCCTATTCAGTCATGTTTATTGTTGTTATACCTGTTGTTTCAAAAAAGAACTTTAACAATGCACACTTTCTTTTTGTGGCCAGTAACCTTTCCCGCCCCCCATCAAGTCATCATTTACAATTCCCTCACGCACCTGTCTGTGCCCTGTCACAAAGAAAACCAACAAAAATCAATGTGTTCAATCCAACCACGGATTTATTAGCTTCCTCACAAGTTTGAATACAGAATTTTATTACACGAGTCAGATGAGAAAAACAATAGAAACAAAAGAAGCTTAAAAATGATGAAACATTCGTAACACAGAACTATATTAAAGCTTTGGTCGATTCCCGACATAAATTAGAATATGTCCTTACCAGGCTTTGAGGATGAAAAGTGAAAACAAAGAGATATAACAGTCACAATTTCATCACTTCAGTACAGTAATAATGCTGCAGACGCCAATAACTGCCCCTTCCTCATGGTTGACCAGTAATTTACACATTGATAGTAAAGGGAGAAATGCAGGCTCCCTCTAGATGGTAACATTTAGAATCTAGGGGTGTCCAGAATGATACTGAAGTACTCCGATTTCTCACAGTTCACACAGGATACCATTCATGTCATGGCCTTGTTTCTAGTTAGTCAATGGCCTTCATCGATTTCATTGCAACGACTATTTCATCATCCATCGCCGTTTGAACCGTCACCTTGAATCACAAGAAAAAGTAGCATGTTAAGAACAACAGATTGCTGCACACAACGGCTCAAGGGCCTGAGTCTTTGGTATCACTATAGTTCGTCATTTTGAGAAGTTTATTTACAAGTGTGGGACTTTGGTTTTACACCGCTTTTAGCAATATTCCAGCATTATCACGGCAGGGGACACCAAAAATGGGCTTCACACATTGTACACATGTGGGAATCGAACCCGGGTCTTCGGTGTGACAAGCGAATGCTTTAACCACTAGGCTATGCCACCGCCTTATTTACAAGAAAAATTGTCCGAGATGCAGAAAAATATTCAGCCTTCAGATAAGTCAAAGTTGGAAAACATTTATTAATGGGTGCAGCAGGACATTCATTCTATTGTTGAGGTGAGAGAGATGTGTCTAAAGCTGTGTCCAACATTATAATGTCAGTATGATGTCGGAGTGAGTGAGAGTTTGGTTTTATGCCGCTTTAAGCAATATTCCAGATTATCACGGCAGGGGACACTATGGGCTTCACATATTGTACCCATGTGGGGAATTGACCCGGGTCTTTGGCGTGATGAGCTAGCGCCTTAACCGCAAGAGTGAGTGAGTGAGTTTAGTTTTACTCCGCACTCAGCAATATTTCAGCAATATTACAGCTATATGGCGGCGGTCTGTAAATAATCGAGTCTGGACCAGACAATCCAGTGATCAACAGCATGAGCATGGATATGCGCAATTGGGAACCGATGACATGTGTCAACCAAGTCGCCTCCTACGACAAGCATAGTCGCCTTTTGTGGCAAGCATGGGTTGCTGAAGACCTATTCTACCCCAGATCTTCACGGGTCGCTTTAACAGCAAGAGACGGTCCAAACATTCAAAAGAAGTTAACAATACATGACTTGTTCACATAATTGTTATTAACTATGACAGATTAACGCTGGTCAAAGAAACATTTGCTGTCTGATAACTGTTTAGAATAATAGATCAGTCCAACAACCCTTGTTGGTACAATCTGACTTAGTTGATATTATTAGTGTCCATCTTTGTACCATGGGTACTAGACTTTGTGTCAAGTTTAGTTTATCCTCATTGGGAAAGCATAAAACATACCACAAAGTCATCTCCACACTCAGCTTTTCTCTGAATATCTTGTCCCATGTCATTATCTGGGAGACGAAGATCATTCCTTGTGAGGCCCTTATCATCAAGCAGGGAAAGATATCCCTCATCTACCCCTATGCACTGAAACAAAAGACACAGTGAGTGAGGTGAGGTGAAATGTGGTTTAACGTCGTACTTAAGAATATTTCACTCATATGACGACATGTATGTGTTTGTATGTGTGGCTGCTTGTACTAGCTCTACTACTGAAGCTGGTTTTATAGTGCATGCTCACTGAGATACCATGCCACAGTTAAGCATGAATACCCCACTTAGACAAATTATACTGACTCTGAGCCGACCCGTCCTTGTTTTACCAATTAATGCCAAACACCAGGCAGGGAACAACAAGTACCATATTTTAACGTCTTTTGGCATGACGCAGCCGCTGATAAACCTACAACCTTCCGCTCTCCGGACCGAGGCTCTAACCACTACACCATGAGGTGAGGTGAGGTGAGGTGAGGTGAGGTGAGGTGAGGTGAGGTGAGATTGGGTTTAACGTCGTGCCTGAGAATATTTCGCTCACATGACGTGCATGCGTGTGTATGTGTATGTGTGGCTGCTTGTACTAGCCCAGACTGAAGCTCGTTTTATAGTGCTAGCCCACTGAGATACCATGCCGCAATGAAGCATGAATACCCCACTCAGACTCATACTGACTCCGAGCCAACCAGTCCTTGTTGTACCCATCAATGCCAAGCGCCAGGCAGGGACCAACAAGTACCATATTTTAACATCTTTTGGTCTCACGCGGTCGGGGATCGAACCCGCGACCTTCCGCACTCCAAGCAGATGCTCTAACCACTACACCACGGAGGCACTACACCACGAAGGTGGTCTGGGTGGGCGAGTGAGTGGCAGTGTGGGTGGGTGAGTACATGGGTTGTGTATCTTGTTCAATGCCAGCAATATTCCAGTTTTTCAATGACCTGTAAATTGTCAACTCTGAACTCGACAATCAAGTCACCGACATTTACAGCATTATCCATGAAACAGGGACACAAGCATCACTAGTGAACAAGTGTCACAATCCAATCCCAAAAGTAACCTCTTGCAATCATAGCAGCTGAAGACAGATTCTAAGCCCTCATGGATATTTCAACAATGTTCATGAATGATCCTACATCAAAGTTCTCTTATGATATTTTACCTAAAAGCTTGGTATGTCCCTTGAGCCTCTGTGGAAGGAAAGCCTTGGGTATATCACTTTAGTGAAACTTACTTGCACTAACATGGGCAGAACTAAAACCTACTTGCACAAAGCCAAACTGCCACTTCTCCGGGCAATGATCAGTCCAACACAAAACCAAGTGCCTCATTTTGCTTGACATTACAAACTTGGCAACACTGTCATGCAATAGCCATCAAAATGTATGAAGATCCTGTTCAATGCCTTTTTCAAAGCCACATGCACCCCGAGACTGCAGTTAAGCTTGGATTTTACTATTGTGGTAGTGGTTTGGTTTCTTTGTTGCTTGATGACGCACTCAGCAATATTCCAGCTGTATGCCAGCAGTCTGTAAATAATCGAGTCTGGACCAGACAATCCAGTGGTCAACATCATGAGCATCGATCTATGCAATTGGGATACGATGACATGTGTCAACCAGGTCAGCGAGCCTGACCACCCGATCCTGTTTGTCACCTCTTACGACAAGCATGGGTTACTGAAGATCAGTTCTAACCCGGATCTTCATGGGTATTTACGGACGGACCATGGATGTCACACTGACCTGGTAATCCAGTCTGGATATAGTCGGCACAATCATGTTGTGTGTCGAAGGACATACATCCTCATACTTTTTCCCAGTGAAGATGTCCAATCCCACCAGGTGAACCTGAAACAGTGTAGAACATTATGAAAATATCCTTATGCCATTTGTAACCCAAGCAGAATCACTTTGCCATTACTAACAGCAATGAAATACTTACCTGAAAATATCAGTGAAGCCTCGGCAGAAGCCTCAGGAACAGGAACAAGGTACACCGATTTATCCACACACTGGGAGGACAATGGTGAGGACAATGGTGAGGACAAAGGTGAGACCAAGTCTCCAGCATAAGGCAGTACAGTTTCCCTGCGATCATGTAATGTAAGTCAAGTCACTGACAAGTGACATCTCGGCTTTCGTTGCCTCAATCTTCACGCTCGGACACAATGTTTAATGCGAAAATATATGCATGAAGCATTTTTGCCACAGGTCATAACCTAGCACAATACGTCCAATAAGTTCCATAATTTACATATAGGTAGCGATTTCTTGCTTAATATGTTCAGAATAGCATTATTTTACCCAAAACTTTCGCCATCAAACGTTTCACCTCGCATGTTATTCATTCGAAGCTTCGAAAACGGAGGCATTTCCCGCTGTTGTATCCCTTTACCGAGCGGAAAGCCACTGATATTGGGAAATAGACGACCATACATATTATTTGAGAAATCTTTTTATGATAATTTTCCGATTACGCAAAAATGAAAATATAAAAGAAAAAAGGGTAAGGGGATATTATGACATGTTACAAATGAAAAAAATGGCAATATATTTCGCTTCCTTCGTGGTTTATCTTGATATAAATGTGTACCATTTTCATTATAAATTAACTTATCTAAGTTGTAGTTGTATTAATTGAATAATATGATAAAAATAAATTTCATATTTATAAACAGTAGGCTTAGACCTTTCAAATGGTGTATGATATGTAGTAGCAATGTTTTAAAAGCTGATATTTCCTTGATAAACACAGGCTCCATCTATGACCTCAGAGTCTCTGGGAGCTCCGTGTCATAGCAGTAAAAGCCTCTGGTTAACTGGAGTTGAAAGAGTTCATATTGTAATCTACATACCCTACGTAAAAGAATTTGGAATAAATTATATGGTAGCTTCCCTGAGGGCTGATAGAATTATTGAGAGAAATTCATCATTTACTTTCAGAGAAGTGGGTGTGAAATAATGTCTTTAAGAATGAATTCCCACTTCATAAGTGTTCCTTCAAACAAGACCTTTTACCCCACCTTAGCATGTCCATGTTTGCCAGTCTTGGAGGTGGACATTTCAACAATCTTGCACGGTCTCTGCTTGAGGAGAACATGGCCACCTTTCTTGAGGGCTGAGCACTGCTTGGGGTAGGTCTTGGAGGCTCCACTGCAAGCCTGCTCAAAGATTTCATCTGCAGCGTCATTCATCTTGGTGACCCTGTAACAAGAAAACTAGCTGTTACACTTCATTACCATCTTGGTTGGTTGGTTGTTTAATGCCACACTCAGCAATCTTCCAGCTATATGGCGGTGGCCTGTAAATAACTGAGTCCGTACCAGACAATCTTTTGTTCAACAGCATGAGCATCGATCTACGCAATTGGGATACGATGACATGTGTCAACCAAGTCAGCGAGCCCGACCACACCATATGTTCCAAAGGGTGAAGAATGCAAGATATAGATTTTGTCTAGCATAGGGGTGTAGCGACACTGTGAGGGCACCATACAATAAGTATCTCAATAATATGGACATAATATCAGGGATCCAGATAAGGACCATATCGGCGTATGTACGGATATGAAATATACACGATACAGTAGGAAATAATTTAGAAAGCGTAGCAGATATATACCACAGTAATGGTGTATGGGCTAAGAATCATTTACAGACGTATTTATGTGAAAAAATATTGTTTTATTGTTTATTGACCTGTTTACATAAGAGTAGCAATGTTGAAATATATGAAACGAAACACAAGATTACTGGTACTACATTAAATTCCATTCAATACTCTAAATGTACTCTTAAGGTCTTCCAGTACTGCTGTATTAAAAAAATAAGGAGTATGTACTCCTGGATGTTGAAAAATTATCTGGAGCCCTGTAATATGCACTCTCTTCCAAAAGAGGTTACTTGTCATATCTTCCTACGAACCTCTGTTCTAATACGGCCATGTTTCCCTGTTCTCGTAAAATCCCCTATGTGTAGAGGTTCTAGTTTTCCCCGAAGCATACGGAAATTACCGAGGCCTTGCGAATGATCACTTTTGAAACAACGTCGCTGATTGCACAACTAAATCTGATTGCAACCAATCACGAATCCTGAACACTCGCACCATGAAAAGGACGTATTAGAACAGAGGTTCGTAGGAAGATATGACAAGTAACCTCTGTGGGAAGAGAATGTGTAATATGATTCGTAGCCTAAAACAGTACTTTCAAACCATAAGTTCATATTCTCTCCCTTTTTAAGTGAATCTCAGGCCTGAATCACAGTGATTGATGTTAAAACATTTACACAGCAAAGATGGGATATTGTAGGGGAGAAACAGAGATATTAAGGGACGCTGTGCCAATTGTAATATTTATAGCCGATCAATAATTACTTGATAATCTGCATAAATTGGTCTTTGGACAGTTTCTGTTATTAATACAGTCAAATCCCGATGAGTCGAATGCCGGTGTCTTGAATATTATGCATAACTGGAAGTACCTGTCGGTCCCGACCATTCCCTGTTATAATTGTCATCATTTGAATACCGGTTATACGAATTCGTCTCATAAATACACACGATGACTCGAGAAGAAAATTTGGTCCCATGAGATTCAAACAGCAATCTTGTATACATAAGCCGAAGTCAGTCAATGAGAAGTTGATTGGTGTAGCAAACTGATCCAATTAACAAACCAGCGCGGCTCACACCTTTCCGCCATTGACGGGTGAGTTCAAAAGGCAGATTAGTGATTTTACGGAAATCACTGTCTGTGCTAATCAGACTGGAACTGATAAGGTGTCCCTATTAGTGATATGGAAATCATTAGATAAACAAATGCTTAGGCGGAGGAATTAGGACTGGATCATCATTTTTTCTACCCTCATAGACATACCTATGTCTCGAATACATCGATAAGTCGAATTTATTACTTGGTCCCCAGCGATTCGAGACATCGGGATTTGACTGTATATTATTTACATGATTTTACATCAATATAACTTTACATCTCCTGCACTGAAGAGTATGTAAAACAATACAGGAGATGTAAATAGATGAATCATGAACCTTGCATTGTGATACAATACTGTGATACGCTATCATTGCAGCACTAGTTTACTGTCACAGCCACCAAGGAATAGGTTTACACGTAGTACTAACGCAGGAATTAATGGCTCATGAACATAGAATATGCACGGATTGTGTTTCGCAGCCTTTTCTTTCATACTTTCAGCTAGATACAGCAGTAAACCAGCTACTGGAGTGGAGACCTGAACATCCTGTGCACCGAGTATGATATGACAACAGGGTGTGATTTTGCTTTTCACAACCTGCACTGGGGCATGTTAACAATGGCTGGTTCGTGTTACCTTCAGTGACAGGTTGCACCTGGTGCAGGTAACAATATATCCTCCAATGTCATACACCTGTGTTTTAATTGGGAAGTAACTGACTGGAATTAATACTTTCTCTCTGTGTGACTTGCTACAGCATGAACATTTGTGTACATATAAATCAGTTATGTAAAATAAATATTTATAAATAAAGGTAAAGCATTCAATCATTCCTTTAAAATCATGGGGTCAGGTTCTGTTGAATGTATCCGATACTGAGTACTTTTTACGAAAAAAAATGGCTAAACAAGTATTTATGTTACTTTTTAGAACCAGTGACATCATTTTTATGGTGCAACCATAATTTTGATGGTGCAGCCAAACTTAAAGCCTGGTTACACTCGGTGCAGGTACTGAAGAAAAAAACGAAATCATACCCTCCACAAAAAAACAAAGTCACTGTAACAAATACACTTGACTGTAAGTGTAAGGCTGAACAGTAACATCAGAATACCAGGGCCCTATTCTAACCCCAGCCTCTCGGGGGAATGTTAGAAGAAAACATCTGATGACATTTAATCTGGGTTTCAGGACAGTCTGTCATACTTATCCCATTAGACACTATGTTAATCTTTCATGACTAAATACTTTCATGCTCGGGGACAACAACTGTGAGCTTTCATTACTTGATAGAATGTATTTTACATCAACATGATTAAGGTCAAATAAAAAAATGCTGTGGTTCCAATTACAATTCTTTAAAATTTAGGGTAGGTAGGAAGGATTTTTTTACATTATTTTTTAGAAGTAAAGTACGAACTAATAACACATTTATCAATATGTAATTGTTTATTCAATCAAGTCATGTCGACTTTCTCTGTCAGAATGACCGATGTCTGTTGGTGCCAGGAAAAAAACAAAGGTATCTGAAAGCTTATTTTATTCATACCTCGTAAAAAAACTATGCCATTAGACTTGCAGTGAAGCGATGTCATAGCATTGTGACGTCATCAGGTTTTAAATGTCATAGCATTGTGTGTCATGTAAACGATGATGTCAGGGCATTGTATAAAATCTGTCAAAATGGTATCTCCTAGGAGATATAGCTGATATGTTCTAGGAGATATCATTTGATCTCACACAAGCAATATCTCCTGTGGAACAGTTTTGGATGATAAAATATTTTATTACACCCATTCTATACACAGTGGGTACTGGACACAGCCATTTCCTTTTGCGAGTGTAAAAGAGGATCAGGGGTTATAGCTTCATATTAATATAACAGCAAACTGGGAGCATGTATTACTCTACAAAACATGTAAAAATAGCTGTTCTCAAGAAGCAAATTAATCTGTTATTACAGATCTGTAAGACAACAAATACCTTACTTTGCCAGAGGTACAGATAAGCTGCGTATCTGCGTAAATTACTCAAATATTTATGTGAAAACTCAATTCCTTTTAAGTCTATTGCGTACAAGTACGCTTGAACTTTTGTAAATACTCAATAAATGTGATCTTACATGCGTACACAAAAAAATGTCAAATCTTAGCTTGCGTACCGGTGGATAGATAAAATAACTGAGGTATATTGAGAGGTTCTATTTCAGGACATGAACATGACAACTTGCAGTCTTTCTTATCATTTTTCATATTACAGATGAAATATAAATAACAAACACTAACATTTAAACTTTATTACATTTTTAATATTAATGGAAAATGGCAAAATACCCAAATGTCTTTGAATGAGGTGAGTACAATTTATTTGGTTACTCAAAGGAAAATTAGGATACCCAATTGAAATGAACACAAGCGAGTACATAACTCAATGACCCAAAAAGTTATCTGTAGCTCTGCTTTGCTTTGTTCAGTCATATTCATGTAGTGTCAGTATCATGTGCTCAACATTTTGTTTATGAAACTGAAACAAAATCATGTGATAAAACTGTCTGAACCTCTAAGCTTGCCACATAAGGCAGAAGATGCAGTTGATTGTAGACCCCAAGAGTTAGGGGAAACATCAGTAAGTTCAAATGATCCATTTCATAAAAAATATATCATATATTCATATATCATGCAAACTTTCTGTCCATTCACAGGTGTGTGAACTCAGCTACAGAACAGAGGACTAGACACCCAGTCAATCAGTCAAACCTAGCAATATCACGACAGGTTGCACCAGAAATGGGCTTCACACATTGTACCAATGTGGGGAATCGAACCCGGCCTCGGCTTGACAAGCAGACATTTTAACCACAAGGCTAATCCACCACCCCCAATCAGTATGAAACAGGGTAAACTAAAGTATGAAATCAACGTATTAGGGCACACACATGTGGAACACACAGCTGAAAACAACGAACATTCATTATGTTGCTACCTTTTGTCACTGTCGTGCATACTGTGGTTAAACTTTAGCAATAACCATTACAGTCTAAAATAGAGATTGTAAAAAGCACAGTCGGAACATTCATTAATCCCTGACCTCGACATCAATTAATGACCAAGACTAATTTCAATTATAATGTTAATTAAAGCAGTTTCAATTATACATGCGTAACCTTGATTCGTGGATATAAGGGAAGTGCAGCGAAATTCATATTTTAAATGCATGATTTCTTTTTGTATACGCACTGATTATTTTATTCATTGATTCAGCAAATTGAAAATGCCGAATATTCCACTCGTGAATGAAACGTTTGTTAACGGAAGCCATTTGCAATCATCACCCATCCGTGGGCCCACAAAATGTGACGTCACCTTGTTTCGTGGATTACGTAGCTGTTTACTTTATACCACTATGTAGTATGTACGACATCCTACTGCAGTAAGTATTGACACTAAGGAAAGCAGACGAGAAATGAGAAGCTTGGAGCTAACTATCTTT